AGATAGAGATGAGAGGGCTGCAAGAGGAAAGGGTGTACATGTTTTTTCTTCTTTAAAACCGGAAAATTACAATCAATCAATATGTTTTCTTTTCATTTACATCTTTCTCTTAATATGTGTTACGACTTAAAATTGATATTAAGGCTTCTAAACGATACATTCGTTTTGATAAATGTTTTCTAATGCTTTCTTCTTAAATTTTTAAGAAGATTAGAAAACTATGAGGCCTTTCGTTTTAGTTTTTTTTTTTTCATTATTGATAATTTTGTATATAGTATGCATATTATAAAAAATATATAAATATTAACTTCATTCATGTTTTCTTTTTATGAAACTTTGTTGGAGGGGATGATTGGAAATCACAGACAAATCTGTCATCATGAAATATAATTTTGTCTCAATGTTATTATTCATGATGAATGTCTTTGCGCGTGTGCACTTCATCAGAATAACTTCATTGTTATTACAGTCAAGAACAAAACTTCGGAGAATAGCAAATCAATTGAATTATTGAATTCTGTTTACTAACAAGAAAAAACATAATCAAATTATTAATGAGTATTTCAATATACTTCATTTAATATTTTTTTATTCTTTTTATTTTTCAAATTAGATGTTAAAGGTATTAGTTATGTCATTAACTATGATATGCCAGGTAACATTGAAGATTATGTCCATAGAATCGGTAGAACTGGTAGAGCTGGTGCCACAGGTACTGCTATCTCCTTCTTTACTGAAGATAACAAATCTCTAGGTGCATCTCTAATATCCATTATGAGAGAAGCCAATCAAACCATCCCACAAGATTTATTAAGATACGACAGGAGACAAAGAGGTCCTCACCCAAGATACGGTGGTGGCCGTGGTGGCCGTGGTGGTTACGGTAGACGTGGTGGTTTCGGTGGTGGCCGTGGTGGTAACGGTGGTAACGGTGGTTTCAACAGATCCAGAGATGGTGGTTGGGGTAACAGAGGTGGTAACTACTAGAGAATGCTAAGTTCCATCTATAAAAAGTTTTCCCCTCAACAAATTTTATAAATATAAATATTATCTGTACAATATAACTAATTAATTATAACTTGAATAGCATTTCTTATAAAATATATCGATTTGAATAAAAACATATTACAAATATATGTTTTCATTGGAGTCAAGACGCAGTTCATTGAATAATGAACTGTATAATTTAAATCTTGTATTGCGTTGTATTGTATTGTATTGTATTGTATTGTATTATAATTATTTGAATCAGAAATATATAAATATAAATATATATATGAATATACTGCAGAAAACCAGTAGTATAAGATGCAGAAGTAGTAGAGTAGATTTAGTGATATAATTTATGAAATGTGAAAAAAACATAACGACAACAGAAAACACTAAAGAGCACAGGGTTAGATAGATCAACTATCTAAGTAAAAAAGAAAAATATCAATAAAAGGAATGGAAAAAATAATAATAGAAACAATTGAATTGTTCTTGGTAAATTTTATAATAAATAAGTAATCTTTTTATGAAAAAAATGAATAAAGAGACAACCACACTTATTCGTTTAGGAAATAGTAACCAACAATGAAACATAGAATAGCAACAATAACAGCCAATTGACCATTACCTTGGTTACCTTCAGTTTTTTCTTCTACCTTTGGTTCGAAGATGACCTTCTCACTAGTGACATCGACTTTACCAATACATTTACTCTTTAGTAATTTCAAAGCATCATCAGAATGACCGATATCTACAAAATATTCAGTAGCGTCTCTACCGGCTTGATCGAAGATAATTTCATCACCACCTGGATGTTCATCTAGAAACTTGGAGACATCGTAGACTTTGTCATCGATAATGATCCAAGTATCCTTTGGAGAGTTGTGTTCAGCGATTTCTTGATAAGTGTAAACGGTAGACATTATTATAAAGTGTGTATGTGTATAAAATTTGGAAACAATTTGTTTGTACTTTTTTTTGGATACAAATGAGAATTGTAAAATAAACAGAAATAAGAGATGAAAATTATAATATCAAGAGTTAATCAATTTCGGCTTAGTTATATATAAATCAGATTTAACTAAATATGTAAGATAGAATTTTAACGCTGTTCTCTCAATATTGCATTAGTATGTATATATTTACAAAAACTGGTCATCTCGTTTATCGCTTCTCTCAGGATAAATCAATTAATTCGTTAATTCTCTCTCTTTCTTTTTCATTCAAAGTTACAAAACAAACAACGCACAACAACTCGCTTTTGGAAGACCGTTAAAATGCGTGAAGTTTTTTCGTTTTCGCTCGCTTTTTGGCTTCATTTTTTTTTAGTTGCACGGGATTTTCGTTGTCTCGTTTGATAGTGGATGAATAAAATTTTCACTCGTTGCGTCTCATTTTCTCTATTCAGAAAGAAACGAACTTGAGCTGAAATAACAATCTCCCACTCAATATATTTTATGTGTAACGGACTTTTCGCAGTTTACGCCATCGAATACATTTTTATAAGCTCAAAATAGTGGGGCTAATGATTGCTGCTGACAAATACATTTTCGCTGTAGCTTCGATGCAGAACTTTATCAGAATGTACGTAAATATCGGATTCAAAATAATGTTGTAAAAATACTGACTTTATCGGATCTACTGGAAGGTAAAAATCAATAAATATTCGATGAGTCTAATTTTGTAATGTTATGAATTTGATTGCCGATATTAAACATTTTATTGAAATAAAGAGAACTAACTATAAACGTGTTCCCCTTTTCTTCAGTACATTACGGGTTGTTCGATATCAATTTTAAAGTAAGGGTCTTCTTGTCTTGCCTACCTTGAACTTTCATATTCGTTCGCTCCCTCGTCTCTTTCATGAACAGTTTTAATGTTAAATGTATGTATATTTATTTTTATAATAGATAACAGACTATATATATGTATAAACTCTTTCTCTACTGCAGAGTTTTAATACTTATTAATTAAGGAATTCCTATTATCGGAATCATGATCACATCGATTGCATAAGTATCATCACTACTACTAATATCATTATTTTCTAAATAAGTACGATGTAAACCCATCAATGTAATATCATACCCTTGACTCTCTAAATATTCTTTAAACAATCTCTCTTCTCTCTTCATAGCTTCTTTATCTAATTCTTTAAATCTTAATCTTGTAAAGAGTGAAATCATTGAACAAATAGAACCCATCCCTGAAGAGATTATTCAAACTCGGGTTAAATGTTTAATTTATTGAATTGAAGTATATTATAAAATTATAAAATTATTAAATATTGGTATATTTGTAGTTGGAATTATATTGTACAGAAAGGTCCAACGTTATACACATTTGTGTAAACGAAGAAAAAGTTACACTAAAGTCTAGGAATATGAATGTATTAAATGAATAGCATTATGGTATTCAATTAATTATAACAGAAACAAAGTTGAATCAAAAGAAAAGTAATAAAGAAGACTTGTTTGGGAAATTAACGTTCTTGTACGTCAACGGTGTGGTCAAGCTTGTTAATAACAGACTCTTCAGAATCGTTTAGCATTTCAACATGAGTTTCTTGGTCCTTGTTGATACCCATTTGAGACATATCGTAACCAGACTCTCTTAGATACTCTAAGAATCTTTCATCTTCTCTGTTCATAGCTTCTTGATCTAAATCTGGTAGGAAGAAATAAGAAATAAAAGCAGAGAAAATACATAGGGAAGAAGAAACCCAGTATGGAGCAGATAAACCGTACTTTCTAATGATAGTTGGGAAGACATAAGAACCAACAAAGGCACCAACTTTACCAATCATAGCAGCAACACCGTATAAGGTACCTCTAACTGGAGTAGCAGAAATCTTGGAGGCAATACAACCGGCGTTGTCACCAGCAGAGAATTCACCTAAGGTCATGAAGATACCGTACATAACAACGAAACCACCAATATGTTCTCTCAGGTGGTCTAAACCACCGGCTAAACCATAACCAATAGCAGATTGAATAACTAAACCGACAGATAAAGTCAGACGTGGACCGAAGTAATCAGCAGAGTACGCACCCAAGAAAGAACCTGGGATGTAAAATAAGTTGAAAACGACATTCCAACCAAAGTTTTGATAGATGGAGGCATCTTCTGGCAAAACAAGACCAATAATGATGGATGAGTAAGTACCAAAAGCGTATGAGGAGAAATCGTATAAGAACCAGATGATGGAAATCATAGCAGTTCTGAACCAGTAAAACTTGATAATACGCCAGTATGGTAAACCCTTGGTAAATTTGGTCTTTTCAAATGCCTTACCTTCCTTGTACTTTAGTCTCAAGAAGAATAAGGATATTGGTGGAATAGCACCTAGACCAATAGAAATTCTCCAAACTGGAGTCAAATGATCTTCCTTGCAAATCCATAACAAAACTAATGGGACGAAGGCACCTACGACGAAACCAGAGTCAATAGTGAAGTTAGTAAACCAAATGAACCATCTATTTCTCTTACCGGCTGGTAATAGATTAGAGGCTTCAGCGGCAGCTGGGGAACCAGATGAATATTCAGAACCAATGGCAATACCTAAGAAAAATCTCCAAGCTGTTAAAGCAGCGAATAATCCACCTGGCTCAGTTCCCGATGTACCTTTACCCCAAGCACCAGCACATAAAATAGTGAAGACGATTAGCATACTAGTACCAAATAACATAGAAAATTTACGAGAATGTTGATCAGACAAGTAACCAAATATTAATTGACCAACGACAGTACCAACGAACACAATGGAAGAAACATTTTGGATAGCACGCGATTCTGTGTAAGCTTTACCATATATCTTAGCGAAACATGTGGAAACAGAAGAAATGGAGTTATTTATATAACCATCGGAGAATAAACCTGCACCAGTAGTAATAATGGCCCAGTATTTAGCTAGACCCTTTCTGTTTTCGTCTTCATCGGAACCGACAGTGTGGGTTTTATCATGATGTTTTTCGTTACCTTCAATTGAACAATCGGAACCAGATGAAATTTCTTGAACTTTCTTCTTATCGTGTAAGATAATGACTTCCTTTCTATGTCTGTTGATAATAGTTTCCTTGAACTCGGCAAGGGAAGATGGGACATCCCTTAATACCGGACTGGTAAGATGCTTGTTTTCGTAAGAAGACATTTTTTTTCTTAACTTGTCAGGAGGAAAACTAATGTTTTGTTCGATGTTATATCTGAATACTGAATATTAACAACGAATAATAATAATGAACAGGAAAGAATGAGGAAAGATTATATTTCGAGATTAGAATGTATTTTGATCTCTTTATATATTATTAAAACTGTTAATTTTTATTGATTAAAAAAATCGTTATAGTTTCTAGTAAAATATAAATTAAAATAATAACCCACGAGTGCAATGATTGCTAAACATCGACTAAGCATACACCATATTACAAGTTTTGTTCTTAATTGAATACCACCAATGAAAAAAAAAGAAAAAAGAAAAATAAGGCAAAGAATTTTAGATGATATAACCTTGTTGAAGAAACTACATCGAGGTTTCAGGTAGCTTACTTCACATGATGAAATTTGCAAGAATCTTTATTGGAAAAATATGTGATTTGCAAAGAGTGGTCATATTGAAATTAGACAATCACAGCAATTTTGTCGATGATAAAATACAATGGCTCACTAAGTTACATTAGAACAATAGGATAAGCCGGCATATTTCAGTAAGCATGTACATATAGTTGTTCCAAAATTTTCTTTGCTTTTCTTTTACTGACGTACCATTGCTACTTTAAACAAAAAGACAGAATGTGAAAAACGTGCACCTCGACAGTTATCTAATTATTATCTTGTTGATGATTATCGTCTAATTACTAGTATTTTCAATTTTTAGTTCACCGAGCGCTGCGTGAAAATAGTCTAAATGATGAAAAAGAGTCTCTCAGAAATTTTCATCGATTATTTTGAAAACAATAGAAGATGACCTGAAAAACATAAAAAAATATACTAATGACAAAGACAATCAAACGAGAACAGAACGCACAAAAAATATCTGTAAAAATTTGAGGGAATGTTGTGTGAGAATCAGCAAAAATATGTTAAGGGACCTTAAAGATACCCGAGTTTAAGTTAAAATAGATGATTATTACTATTTTTGTTGTTGTTATTTTTCCAAGGCAATCAACGGTAGTACATATTGTTCTAAAGTCGCATACGGTTTCCGCTTTCGGAAAGACAGACAATAAGAGAATTTGGTGCATGGGGTAAGTAAAATGGTCCGAGAGGAGATACTTTCCCTTTCATAGGATTAAATGTAGTTCAGTTATTTTTGTTTAGGCCTCTGCTTCTCATTCAATTAGATATTTCTCTATGCAACCGACCCTGTTCTCTATTCTGGATGTCACTCTACTTTTGGCGAAGGTTACACCTTTGTTTTTTTGCTTGGAATTCACCATAACAACCAAAATAATTGGTATGCCATATAGTATATGATTATTTTGAGAAAGAAAGAAAGAAAAAAATACACGGCAATATTACAAAATGTTACTCATTCTTTTTCAAGTGTTGTTTTGTTCTTGACAGTCTAATTAACGTTTCAATATTCATGATAATAACTACTCATGACATATCGATAAGACCATGGTGTAATCTTGAACAAAATTTGAAGTTTACTGAGTCTAAAAATGGTATATCACTGAAATTTTCTTGATAATTATTCTTTGTACAATACTTGTAAAAAAAAAAAGACTCTGTTTCTGCCATACGGGCTGCCAGGTTAATCAAATTAGGCTATCACATAATGGCATTAGCTTCATTAGATGATACACGTGCTCTGGTATAAATATATTCTATTTCAATGATGAAGTCCCTTTTAGGAAGCTCTAACCCTATTTCTCTTTTTATTTATTTCCTTCTCGAAGGTATATATAAATTTTTCAAATAATAATCCATGAAACCTTTTATGTATCCACGGAACAGTTATTGATTACATATGATTACCAAGTTACCTTCTTCAATTTGACACACTCAAGCCAATCTTTCTAAACAATCAAGACAAGGTGGAGTGAGTTTGAACCCACATGGACGACAGGTAATCTTGTTAACAGGGTAACCATATCTCAGACTATTATTTTATTACAGATAGAATACAGAAACTCCATGCGAGTTGACATTTTACGTTAATTAGCATGATAAATAAGGTGCAGGTTTTTTAAGTTTATTTTGTTATATGATCTAATTTACAAAAATTTATAGGGTAACAAAATTAATAATGAACAAAACAAACAATTGGTACGCCGATCTAATGAAGAGGAATAGTTCGTCAAACTGAAGAGGAAGATTGCCAACATATTTGTTAATGTTATCCGCCTCTTTATAACAATCCTTTCTGTCATGTTCATGTTCCTTTTCTTTTTCTATTATATTTATTAATGTTATGAATGATGATGTGATATTTTAATGGTTTAATTTTATTTCGTCTACCATGAGAATTTAATACCAGCTTCGGCTAGTTTTTCCATTCTGGCCTGTTGTTTAGCCACAGCTCCTTCTTGTAATTCCTTGGCACTCTTCTTAATATCAGCCTCTGCATAGGCTCTCTTTCTATACTTGAATAATTTTTCAATTTTAGCACCATTACCTAACAAACGTACTTGAAGAAGATGACCCATAAGTAAATAGTTATTCATAGCCTCTTGTGCAATTTTAGCGTCATCCTTGTTAGCAAACTCTATGAAACCATAATGTCTAGAGTTACCACTCTTTTTATTTCTGGCTAATCTAACTTCCTTTAAATCCCCAAATTGAGAGAAATATTTACTTAGTTCTCTTTCATGGAAACCATGAGGAAGTCTACTAACATATATGATACTGGAATATTGGTCGTTCTTGCCCTTTTTACTTTCACCATCATCTTGGTTCTTCTTGGACTTTAATTTCTTAATGTTATGCTTAGAACCTTCCTCATTATCAGATTCAGACAAACCTTCGATGTCAGAGTTTAATTCATCGGCAGAAACTTCATCAGATTCACTTTCTGAGGATTCAACTTCAATATTATCATTGATCTTTTGAACAGGTTCAGCGACATCCTTAGCTGCTGGTTTTTGAGCGTTCTTTGTAGAGCTTCTAGTAGTTGCCATCTTGTATACTTAGGGATCTTTCTACTTTGAACAAGTTAAAGAGATTGAAGTAGCAGATACGTTAACCTACCTATATATATACTCAAATATAAAACCTACTATCTCTTCTTCTTTTTTTTTTTGCAAGAACAAATCATACAGAGATGAGATGAGATGAGATGAGCATCTAAGAAAAATTAAAAAAAATTTTCAATCCAGTTGAAAATTTGTTCGCACGCGAAAATATATCGCTATATACGAGAATACTTAACGGTAATAATTGACAGTCTATCAGTCTTATAAAGTACACACATACTTAAAAAGGTTATAATATACAACGGTTAGGTATGATTAACGCGGTATCAGTTATGATATATGATACTGTTGTAGAGGTTCAATTGGATCTTTGAATTCTAGCATCGGCCAACTTTCTTGCACGAATATCAGCATCAGATCCAGCTTCAAATCCATTTCTAAAGTCCCAATTCATTTCTTCACCTTTAGTTAAGAAAGATGTGTTACCATTCATTTTCAGTTCCCATTCTTTAGCGCAGACATCTTTACCGTTACTCTTGATCAAATCAAATTGGTCAATAGAACAAGAACCATTACGGATGACAGTACCTTTGTCATCAATGGAGACAATTGCATCTGGGAAACCTAACAGATTCATACCCAGAGCAGCTTTTGTAGCAGCATGGGTTACAATAAGTATACTTGAAACTTCTGGGAATACTTCTTCAACTCTAGGTATAAAAATACCAAGAAATTTGTTACATCTTTCAAATATGTCTTCTTTAGTTTCACCTTTATCACTTGGTATAATAGATGATTCCCAGTCTTCGGAAATCATACTATCAAATAACCCATTAAGTTTAGATACGGGAGCTGGGATTGGGATAATGGGTCTATCTGGTCTATACCATTCACCTACACCATTATCGACGTACAGTGGAATATCTAATTTCTCTTTTACAGGTTTACTAGTTTGTAAGCAACGGTAAAATGGTGATGAGAAGATTAGTTGTGGTTTAACATCTAGTTTAGCAACAAAATCAGCAAGTTGTTTAGCTTGGTCTATACCATGTGCTGCCAGTGGTACATCACTATCCACATTTGTTGGTGGTGGTGGATAAGGGCCGTCAGGAAGCCAATTTGATCTGTAACCGTGTCTTGCTATGTATATTGTTTTGATAGCCATTATTGTGATTATCGATTTTCTCAAACGTTAAATTTATCCTATATTTACAATGCTGGTGTCAACGAGGTCAGAACAAAACGATCAAATATCTGTTTTTTAATAGATATACATAATAAAAACAATTGAAGTAAACCCTGTTCATTGAAATATCTAATATTTATATTATATAATATTGTAAACATTTTAAATGTTGCACGTTCCTACATCTTTTTGCCTTTTATTCCCGCAATGAGCAACATCGGAGAAAGAAAAAGAAACGAGAAAGAAGAGGTCTATACGTTTTGTTTTGTTTTGTTTTAACAATATAAACAAAACACTAGGCAAACGATTGTTCATCTACTTATTCATGGCTCCATTTGGTAAGAATATAGTTAACTATCAAAGAGAAGAATGATAATATGCAATTATTCTATAATTTTATTATGTAATATTAATGTATCTATATAGACTTTTTGGTTTTCTCTCGTCATTGTTCAGTAGCGTCAACCGTATCTCCATAAAAATTTCCCAGACTAGCCTTCTTTTTTGGTACAATAGGAGGAACTTTTTTAGTTAACCCCTCTATTGGAACATTCTCCAGACTCTGTTTCTTATTTGGAATAATAGGAGGTGTTTTCTTTTTTCCTTCCGATGATTCTGGAAGATTAATGCTGGTATTGTCATCTTCATGAGACTCAGGTAGACCCTGTCTTCTTGGTTTCACAGAAGGTGGACGTGATACTACAATCGGGACTCTTTCTATATTTTCCACATCAGAATTTGAATCGGTACGTTGGTTTGTATTGTCCTTATAATTTCCTTGTCTACTTCTTGATGTCGGTGGCACAGGCGCTATACTTATGTTACTATTCTCTCTTTTTGGGAGATCAGGAATGCGACGAGGTTCTCTATTAGATAAAGAAACTAAAGAAATAGAAGACGAAGAATGTGCTGTTAATGGTACTGGAGGAGGCATATTTTTAACAGGTGTTACATGAGGAGAAGGAGACCTTTTGTGAATTGGTTCCAAGTATGCTTCCAATTCTATATCCTCAATATCATCGTCAGTACTTAATAAAGAGGTAGGCCCCACGGAATCATCCTTAATTTTAAATTCTTCATATATTTTCTTTGATAATTCATGTTTCTTTTCCTCGTCGACTATCGATACATCAGTTCTATATGCAGCATAGACCGGTCTATGATCACTAATAGTTAATGGTGCGGAAGAATACGCCAGTGGATGAAGATTAGCACCTCTATACACTATTCTATCCGTCCACGATGGTGTTCTTCGTTTTTCGGAACTATCGTAAAGGTTCGTTCCGAAATCAAATTTATAAGTTGGTCGAAATTGTAATGCAGGTTCACAGTAATCGTGGAATATAATACCAGAATCAATCTCTTGAGTCAATTGATCATGCTTTAACAATCGATCGATATATCCTTCTCTTTCCAATTCTAATTCTTTTCTCACTACTTCATTAGCTAAATTAATTCTATAATTCAAATCACCAAACCAAAAAACAGAATCATTATCCAAGATTTTTCTTGATCTAGCAAATGAGATATTCTTATTGATAGATAAATAATCGTTAGCACGTTCATCAACGTTACTGTTACCTGCAGAAAAGTGAGCATTCACGAAACAAAATGATGTACTTCCATATTCGAATCTAATAGCAACAGCACCTTTGTTTCCTGTCATACCACCAAATCCAGTCTTCTTTGTAGAACCCTCTACTCTTTTCACATTTTTAACTTTATCTGCTTTAACAAAGAAAAGTATCACTAATGAAGTCATTTGTTCCACTCGTAACAAAATATATTGTTCATCATATTGATTCAAACAGTCCTTTACTACGTACTCCCAGAATGAACCCTTTGTATTATCTGCATTTAGTATTGCGCTAGCAGACATTTCGATAACTTCTTGTAAACCTAATACAACGATATCTGGTTTGAATTTATCTCCAATTGGGAATAGCCATTTAGATAAATCGGCTCTTTTTGACATCCCGTTCACGTTATAAGTACCTATCAATAGGTTCATATTAGAGGTAGCAGTATATTGATCTGACATTTTAGATAACTCTTCATTAATATAGTCACCAATGGGATCATATAATCTAACTGGTCTTTGGTTTGGTAATCTACCAAGTAATGCATCAATATTTTGTTGTTTACCTTTATCCATGAAATTGTTAATATACATTCGACTTACAGATTTCTTGGCATCAGATAACGCACCAGATAATGACATTTTACCCTTTCTAGAATATGATGATTTCAATGCATTTGTTCCCGTATAAATTTGTGAAATTTGATCACCTTGATCTGCCCATAATGCATTATGTTTTTTGATAAAATCAGATTCATCGACATTCGCTCTTGGCGTAATTAATTCCACATCATGTAAAAAAGTTTTAAATAATTCATATGACATTAGTTGTTGTACCAAATTTGTTCTATCTAAACAATCCAAACAATTTGTTCTAAAGACACCATTTTGTTCGGATATTATTTGATCTTCTTGAACATCATAACAATAATAACCTTCTGTTAATAAAGCATCTTTAATTAAAGGTAATAAGTTCTTTGCAGCATTGAACCCATCCTGAGCAGTTTCTCTATGGAAATCAAATTCTGTTAAGAATATATTCTTATTAAAACCTAATTTATCTGACTTTTTTAAATGAGTTCTATATCTTCTTGATAATTCAATTTCATTTGATTTAGTGGATAATAAATTGATAATATTTACAGGTCCATACTTACTTATCAATTTAGCAAAGTGTTCATCAAAGACAGGTTGTGTAGCCTCTAAGGATCTTGTTATGGTAACTTTTGCATTCATAATTGCTGCATCTTGTTCCCAAAATATTGGTACACTACCTCTTACTTGAGTGAACGCATAACAATATTCATTGGAGTACATTATCAATTCGGTCTCTACAAAATTCGCCACGTTTCCTTCATCATCAATACCTCTTGCGTTAAACCTCGTTCCTGCTCTTTTCCAACTTTGTTTTGATATTACAGTCAATTCAATTTTTAATCTTTTAATATAAGTAACAAACGTTTCAGCGAAACCTCGTATCACAGTTGTTAAAAACCCTTCATTATCCACAATATGTTTTGTATGAGAATCTAATCTATCTCTATATGCCAAAATTTCTTCCATAAGGAATGAATTCCACATATATTCTTCTTCTATAGTATCATCATTAACCAAATTATCTTCATTCTTAAAGCCTCTATTTTGTAAAGTAGTTGTCAAATCAAAATCATTACTATAGTAAAACGAACCATTTGACATCAATTTCCTTACATCATAACAAGGGTGTCTAGATAATTGTTGTTCTTGTAAATCATTCATATCACCTGCGATAGGTTTCCCACTTTGATCCAATTCAATAAAATCCCATGTATTATCATTTAAACAAAAGAAATCAATTGCATATATCTTATTAATTATTTCATGAGGTATTGGAGATGCAACTTTTGTCTTTCCCGTGATTACACCGATGAATATTAGTCCATCGATCTCTAACAGTCCAATAAAACCATGAACTTCATGAGGAGACAGTCTTCTAAATCTGTGATGTTGAAGTTGTTCCTTCGGAATCAATTCGATGGCACATGAAGATTTCTTTGATATTTTATCTTTCACTGGAGAAAAGAGTAATGCGTATGATTCCGATACAATTGCAAGTTTCCTCTCTCTACGTTCTGTTGATAAAAGGATCAGCATTCGAATAATAAGGATACTAATATTATATCTGATAGGAATAAAAAAAAATGCAAAATTAGAAAATGAATAAAAATGTAGCGAAACTAAATATAGTTTCTCTCGAAGTTGTATGTGTCTTTTTTCTTCCCTTTTTTTTTGAAAAATAACTTTGACTGTTCTAATGAATCCAATAGAGGTCTAAAAAGTGACAATAAAGTATAAATAAATGAGTATTTGAATATAAAATGGATACTTTATTTTTCTCAGTATACTATATCGAAATAGAAAAAACCCACTTGGTCTAAATTACCACTTATTACAAATTGGATGCACTCTTTGCAATAGCTAGTAATAATTGATTGTAGTTTCAGTGTATTACACTAACTATATTGCTAATAGGAGATTTAAGTTCATGAAAATAAAAACTGTCAGCGCACACTAATTCAAATGTCTATACGGGCAGTACAATAATAACAGTATTATTTTTAGTATAGCGTAGTGTAATATAACGTAATTCCCCGAGGCTCAAAAAACAAAAAAACAAACAAATTGAAATTTGAACGAGGCAAGCGGTGATATAGTGATATATATATATAGAGAGAGAGAGCTATTTTCTAATTTAAGTAACAAAATGTAATACGCCTGATTCATGAATCGATAGTTTGAAATTATATATGTATATATGTATATGTATCACGTCGTCGTTAAGAATTGCATACACCCATGGAATGATTCGGTTCGATAAATATCAAAAGAATAGACAGAAGATTACTATCACTTCATTCTGATCTTCAATACATGTGGTATATATTACATAAACACCATAGTAACCCTGTCTATATTATTATATTGTAATGAATGGTTCAACTTGCTTTACCGAACTACAATAACAACGATTGTTGTTATTGTTATTGTACTTATATAGTCTGAATTTTGTATCAGTTGACTCACTTTCTGCTTTTCTCTATTAGCGATGAGCGGGCGAGCGAGCGATGGATGGGCGTTGCTGTCTGCACACAGTGCGGGAAAAGAGAAAATTGTGAAGAAATTTCGAAAAAAATCAACAAAAAAAAGCAGAGAAAGAGAAGAAAATTTTAAAAACTGTGGAACTTAAAAGAAACATCATGACTATTTACATACAACCTAACATAACGTATCGCAAGATAGTTTTCAGTTGCTCATTTAGCATATTAAATAACAACTGTCTAGAGCTGCAAAAGCAACAAGTAATCTATAGTTGCCTTTTTACCATTTATAAGAACCTTTCATTTTCGTTCTTTATCACAATTTGTTTGTTTTCAGCCGTGAATCTGACAAAAAAAAATAGTAATAGTACTAATTCGCTTGTTTTGGTTGATTGATTGATTGTTTTGGTTTTTTCTAAGATATACTACGTGATACTATCATATAGAGAACGTCATCAACAACAAGAGGAACATTCGTCAAGTATCATATACATATGATGAAACAAGAAAAACCAACTACTGCAAGGGACGATTCCTATGCCAATGAATATATGAGCATCTATGGTAGTAATGAACCTGAAAAAGATACCAGTAATACACATACAACACATGAGACGTTTGATGCAATTGATACATTGAATAATCCAAATGTTAATATACATGACTCTAATATTACACCCGATATCTTATTAGAACAACTGGCATACGTTGATAATTTCATTCCATCATTAGATCAAGATTTTGTTAATTTGGATTCATGGGTTATGAATGAATCACAAAATGACCATAATAACAATAGCAATAATAATAACGGATCGGCTACCTCAATTAATAATAATAATAATAATAATGTACATGGTGGGTCTATTATGAATACCGTTTCGGGAAATACGTTTGGTTTGGATGAACAATTAGCTGTTGAATTAAGTGCATTTGCTGATGAAGTATTTATTTTCCCAGATGAGGATAAACCACAAAACAACAACAACAATAATAATGAGGATGAGGAGGATGAAGAAAATATATTCAACAATAAAAGTGATACAAATGATGATCATAAGAATAGAAACCATATATTATCACAAAGAAGAAATAAATTTTTGACTTCTCAATATGATCATTCCAAATCAAGATTTTCTTCAAGAAGATCACATCATGAAAACGATGCTAATGATAATAATAATGATGTTGAAGACCATGACAACAATAATATTCATCCAAGTTTCGATATGTCTAATAATTTGGTACATGATGATCATAGTGGATTTACAAATTTTGAAGTAGATGGTCCAACTAATAACATGAACAATGCTCGTGACGAAGATGACGAAGATGAAGAAGAAGAAGAAGGACAAGAAAATAATATAAATAATCATAGTCAAGTTTCCTTGTTGCCTCAACATCGAGCAGAGAATACCAATCCTCCATATCAAAGGAATCATGTTCCAAGTATCTCTTCCCCATTATCAAATTTGGTAGCAAATAATTTACCATTAAAGAAACAAAAGAAACAAACCATCAATAGTAATAATGTGACACATGATTCACAAGAACCACAAATACATATGCCAGATTATTCTCAAATCCCTACTTCTACATTGGTGGCATTATTGCCAAGAGTTAAAGTTCCAGAAGGTGCACATACTTCTTTATTAAAAGCAGGTTTCGCAGAAGATCAAATTGTAGCAATTTCAGCTATCATTGCCTATAATGAACAACATAAACAACAAATAAAATATTCTTCAGAGTCACATTCTAATGGTTCTTCAAATGATGAAAGATCTTCATCAGATAAAGGTGCTCATTTTTTATTGGACCTATTATCTGATAAGAAGCCCACAAAGAGATCAAGATCTCAACCACAAGTGAATCGTGAAACACCACATTCTCAGCCAAGTCCCGTCAACACTAACATTAATAATAATGGCAGGAGACAAGAATCCAACGTATCGGAACCAGCCGCAGTGATGCATGCTACTCCAGATGTATCAAATATACGACAAAATGTTCAACAACAGAAGCAACAACAAAACCGTCATAATTCCTCAGATGATAATACTCTTACTTCACCTAACTATATGAGACACGCCAGTGAACCAATTTCTAAGAAACAAAATATAGTCTCAAAACCTGTAAATAAGTTACCCTCGGGAAATGCCAAAATACCGTCTGACTTACCAGTGAACTCGGCATCGACTATAAAGAAAGAATCTTGTTCTTCAATTACAAATATATCATCCGCAGTTGACCACTCGGTTAACTCAAATACACAGCCGAAGGTTGAACCTACATCACATTCTACATATGCTCAGAAAAAGAAGTTGAAAGGCAAGGAGCTTGAAAATTCTATCAATGAATTGAATGATCTGGCTTTAAAATTACAACAAAAGATACATACGTTAGAAATGGAAAACAAATTATTGAAGGATCTAGTGGTTAATAGTGGTGAACAAGAAGGTATAGAACAAGCGGAATCGATAAAACAGAATTTACTGAAGAGAGCTCATCAAACAACCCAAGAACAAGAAAATATAGGAAACAGACACTTAGATAATGACGGTAGTGAAAGCGATGATGAGGATCCTAAAAAGAAAAGAAAACTATCAAAATAAAAAATGTAGATAATAGGTATATTTTATAAATATCATAGTTATAGCGAATTAACAAGTATATAGTGGAGTAACAAAATATTTTTACACTGTTCTAATTCAATTAATCCTATTTGCTTCAATGTTAGATAATATAAGAGGTAAATTTCCAATATTAAACGGACGCGAAAATGTGTTGTCAATATTTTTTTTTCACATTTTTGGTAATTTACGCGTTTTAGTTGTTCATATATATTTCTTATTATGTATACAGACAAGAAGAAAGAAATTGTGAAATAAAAACAATTATTCAAAGGTTTATGAAGCTAGACAACTAAAGGATTGATTAATTTATAACTTGCCTTGATTTTATTGTTTGAAACCAATTTGAGCTTTATAAGAACAATAAAAGGACACTAATAAATTCTAGATTGAAGGTAGTGGTCATCCAAATTGGTCAAGGTAATATGAGTGATAAACTATCGAAGTTGAAGAAACTACAAGCTGCCAGAAATGGCGGTTCTGTCGAAGATGATCTAGAAGATTCCTATGATGACCATAAGTTATATGATGAAGTTGATGAGAAAGAATATAGAAACAGAAAGCGTAAAGAGTTGCTACAAGATGATTTTGTTGTTGACGATGATGGTGTAGGTTACGTTGATCGTGGTATTGAAGAACAGGAAGAATATTACAGTGACGACTATAGTGACGACGATCAGAATAAGACATCTTCGAAACTGAAGAAGAAGACGAAACAGCAGTCTAAGGTAAAGTCAACTCATCAGATTAGTAATATGTTACGAGCCCATTCATCTAAGACCGCAGATCCAAAGAAGAAGAAAATAGAAATTGATGAATTTGATGATATCTTGGGTGAATTCGATAGTGGAATATCAAATAAAATTCAACCTACTATGAGTTCGTCGTCGAGACCTCCATCCTCTCCTTCTAACCGTCCTGAGAAAAAGAGACCACTAGTCGTAGCATCAGATATAGAAGTGAATTTAAAGAAGCCTAGGGCTGCACCTCAAAGCAGCACTAACTTTTCTAATAATTTAATGAATTCCTCTCCGTTAAAGAAACATATTAAACTAGATGATGATATGGATGATTTATTGGAAGACGTAGCAGTCTCACCGACAATGAAAAAAGTTCCTACCGGTTTAACAGACAACTCTAATGACACATCTATGACCAACGATATCGAGGAAGATGGAATGAGTAGTGACGATGATATTGTAGTTAGAAGGAGAACTGTTAGGAGCGCAGCAGCTACCAAACAGATCAATTTGAATTCAAAAAGTAATCCAGGATCATCCCCATTTGTCACTGCACCAGGTACACCTCTTGATCTGAAGTCCACTATTAGGAAGCCGGCATCATCAATGAATAGTGCACCATTGCAATTCTCAAATAAGTATACAAAAGCACAAGTTGTCAACCCGGAGACCGATTCCTTCCAAATGTATTGGTTGGATTATGCAGAAATTAATAACACATTGATACTTTTTGGTAAAGTAAAAACATTGGATAATAGTATGGTATCAGCTATGGTTCAGATTAACGGTTTAGAGAGGGATTTATATTTTTTGCCTCGTGAAGGAAAGACACCAAGCGATATTCATGAGGAGATCGTCCCACTTTTGATGGAGAAATATGGATTGACTAATATTCGTGCCAAACCTCAAAAAATGAAATATGCATTTGAATTGCCAGGTATTCCTCATGAAGCTGACTACCTAAAGGTGTTATTACCGTTCAATACCCCAAAAGCATCTTACGATTTGATTCCCCCTGATTTATCAAGTGAAACTTTCCATCATGTTTTTGGTGGTAACACAAACATCCTAGAACAATTTTTAATTCAAAATAAGATCATGGGGCCATGTTGGCTAGAAATTACGCATGGGGACTTTAATGCATTGCAAAATGCATCTCATTGCTCGTTAGAAGTTGCGGTATCTAAACCAGCTAATATCAAAGTATTGAATGATATTAAAACAACAGCTGGACTAAATTGTACCTCACTTGCAATCCAGACGATGATGAATTCCAAGGAAAATAAACAGGAAATTGTTTCTATTTCTATATCAACATACAATAATGTAACTCTAGATATCCCAATCCCAGAGGATTTGAAACCGGATGCAGTTGTTACATTAGTGAGGCCACCTCAAGGCTCAGATTTTGCGGTTGGTCTAGCTACCCTTGTGAAACAGAAGCTTCCGGGAAATGTTCGTTTATTTAATAATGAAAAAGCTTTGTTAGCTTGCTTCTGTGCGATGATGAAAACATCTGATCCAGATGTCTTAATTGGTCATAGACTTGACAGTATTTATTTAGATGTCCTAGTACACAGATTGTATGATCTGTCTGTTCCGACTTTCAGTTCATTAGGTCGTCGTGCTAGAAAAGAATGGCCTGATAAATTTGGTAGAGGTCACAACAATATGAATCATTTTTTCATTCGTGACATTGTTGCTGGTAGGTTAATTTGTGATATTGGTAATGAAATGGGTCAATCTTTGACACCAAAATGTCAGAGTTGGGATTTGTCTGAAATGTTCCAGGTCACTTGTCAACAAGAACATAAAGCGCTTGATATTAATTATCAAAATGCTCAATATCAGAACGACCCTAATATTATGACAATGGCTTTGCAAGAAAATATTACAAATTCCATGATTACTGCTACAATTTCTTTTAGAATACAAATGTTATCTTTAACCAAGCAACTTACAAATTTGGCTGGTAATGCATGGTCTCAAACATTGGGAGGTACAAGAGCAGGTAGAAACGAATATATTTTGCTTCATGAATTTGCAAGAAATGGTTATATCGTTCCGGACAAAGAAACGAGAAAGATGAAGGCTCATAGACTTGCTAATACTGAAGATGGTGAAAATGAAAATAATGATACACCAACATCTTCTAAGAAAGCGAAATATCAAGGTGGTTTGGTGTTTGAACCAGAAAAGGGACTACATAAAAACTACATTCTAGTCATGGATTTCAACTCTCTTTACCCATCTATTATTCAAGAGTTTAATATTTGTTTCACTACCGTCAAGAGAAACGTGAACGATATTGAGGAATTACCAGAGGTTCCTCCTAGCGATATAGGACAAGGTGTTTTGCCACGATTACTTGCCACTTTAGTGGATCGTCGTCGTGAAGTCAAGAAGATCATGAAAACTGAAACAGATCCTCATAAACGTGTCCAATGTGACATTAGACAGCAAGCATTGAAGTTGACAGCCAATTCGATGTACGGTTGTCTGGGTTATGTCCACAGTAGATTTTATGCAAAACCACTAGCAATGCTGGTCACAAACAAAGGTAGAGAAATTTTGATGAACACCAGACAATTAGCAGAGAGTATGGGTCTTACTGTTGTGTACGGTGATACAGATTCTGTCATGATTGATACCGGGTGTGAAAATTATGAAGACGCAATTAAGATTGGGGTAGAATTTAAAAAACTTGTTAATGAACGTTATAGGTTGCTAGAGATTGATATTGATAATGTTTTTAGAAAGCTGTTACTACATGCAAAGAAGAAGTATGCTGCTCTTAATGTCACCATTGGTAAAGATGGTAAGGAACAAACAGTTTTAGAAGTGAAAGGTCTGGATATGAAACGTCGTGAGTATTGTCCACTGTCCAAGGATGTGTCGACACATGTATTAAACACCTTACTTTCAGATAATGATCCAGAATCATCTTTACAAGAGATATATGGGTACCTGGAGAATATTAGAAGTAAGGTTGAGTCGAACGAAATTAGAATTGATAAATACAAGATAAATACACGATTATCTAAGGATCCAAAGGCATATCCTAATGGTAAAACTATGCCAGCTGTTCAAGTTGCTATGAGAATGAGAAAAGCTGGGAGAGTAGTAAAAGCCGGTACCGTTATCACTTTTGTTATTACTAAAGGTAAAGGATCCGAAGAGGATAGCACAGATAAGGATGTGACTGATAGTGCACATTTTGCATCAAGAGCTTATGCACTAAACGATGTTATGGTTAAAAGCAACAATCTTGTTCCAGATCCAAATTACTATCTGGAAAAACAAATATTTGCTCCTGTGGAAAGATTGTTGGAAAGAATTGAAAGTTTCGATGTTGTTCGTTTGAGTGAAGCCTTGGGACTAGATAGCAGGAAATTCGCTAGACGTTTTGCAGATGATAAAAATAGCAGTGGTATTCATAATTTGGAACCCTTGGAGACCACTATATCTGATATGGAAAGATTCAAGGATTCTGCTAAATTCGAATTAAATTGTCCAAATTGTTCACATTTGTTCCCATTTGGTGGTATTATTGCTTCGAACTTTTATAAGATGTGTTATAATGGTGTCCAATGTAAGAACTGTGATCATGTATTTAATATGATTCAGTTTACGAGTCAATTAGAATCTGTTATCAGATCCCATATTTCGTTGTATTATGCCGGTTGGTTGTATTGTGATGATTCGACATGCAGGAACGTTACTAGACAAATATCTGTCTTCGGAAAACGTTGTTTAAATGACGGTTGTACTGGTGTCATGCAATTCAAGTATACCGATAAACAATTATACAACCAATTATTATATTTCAATTCCTTATTTGATATGGAAAAAAATAAGAAGCAACTATTGAAACCACTATATTATGAAGGTGACATCGATTATCCATCCGAACAGTTAGCTGAGTCCGCAATCTTAGCATTGACTGAACAAAATAGAAAGCTATTCGAAATTAGTCAGGGTGTTATAGATAAATATCTAGACAATTGCGGCCGTCGTTACGTAGACATGGGTGCGATTTTTGATTTCATGATGAACTAATCATGTCGCTGCGTATATAGACATGTGTACTTTATAAATATTATATTAATTCTTCGTTATTAAGTTGCGATTGAATGTAAGTCTTACATTTTGAGATTGAGATTAGTGTAAATATGGCTTGAACGAAAGAGAGTTTGAATTTGAGAGTAACTACTAGTGCATATACCATTCGATCAATCAGCCGCATTTCTTCGCTAATCAAAACAATTTTCAGTACTAAAAAATTTATTGACTGCTCGTCACTCGTCACTCGTCATTTTCTTCTGTAAAATTCTCATCGCGAAAATATTTATTTATTTAGTAGAATCACTGAGAAGGGCGTAGGTAGAAGCGATAAGAATTTGTTTACTCCGCGTTGCTGTCTATCTATCTATCTGTTCAACAATCACAGACATACATATATATACAGATATATTCTATAAATAAAAGGGAACAGAGAGGACCATCTATTACAAAGTCATATAGAGCTATATACATCTTTTTAAAAGGAAAATTAAGTGTTTGTTTAATATACTGTATTTATATTTGAACAATTTATGATATATAGTTTGTTTATCATAAACTAAAGAAAAAGAATATCAGTGTTCATGACTAATTGCTTACCGAAATATGTTTTCCAATAGCAAATATGAACTATTAGATAGTGGCTCAAATTATGCTAACAATAGCAAAAATAAAAATATTAATAATAATTTGTCTGTACCGCGGCCTACTAGTTCTACAACGATTGTCCCATCTGAAAATATTACTATTAATACCGATGATAATAATAATAATAATAATAATAATGGGATTACTTCTAATAAAGTGAAAAATATTGAAATTCCATCATCTAATTCAAACAGAGGGGGTGTGCATCCATTATTGATAAATAGACGTAATTCTACAATTAAAAATACTCCTATAGTGGCAAACTTAGGTAAGAGTGTAGACTCTCATGTTTTTGTAAGTATTCATTCACCAAATTTTAGAACAAGTCAAGATGGTCATCAAGAAGAAATAATGAATAGCGTTAGAGAAAATTATTTAAATAATACACAGAGGAAAAATAGTATGGGTTTAAACAGTAATACTGGTAGTTTGAAATCAGATTCTATAACTTTAAGAACGCAGTCTCCTGCACGAGTTGTTACAGATGATGAGAACCCTCCATTAGGAGAAACTGCTTCTGAATTAGACGATCCAAGTTTAAAGAGTACAGGAGGTGATATTTTACGTGATATCTATAAGATGACAAATCACCCTTCTGATTCAAATTTAAAGAGACAAAAGAGTACCGATGACGTTCGTTTAACAATGGAAAGTAGAAGAAGACAATCAGCTGCTGGAGGGTTGAATGTTCCAGGTGGATTTAGAAGAGAATTCATTGTGAAAAAAGTTAGAACAAAGAGTACCAATGTTCAGAGTAATATATCGTCAATTAGAAATGATTATGGAACGAGTAGACCAGGAACACCTAGACCATCTACAACTGGTACTAGTGCTGTAGTATTATCATCGTCATCATCAGTGGCCGTATCGGATGCACACCCTACGGTGGATAGAGAATCAAATCAACCAATTGAACAACCTTCAGAAGTTCCATTCTTAACGAAAAATTTTATGGAATTCCTATACCTATATGGACATTTTGCAGGTGAATCCTTTGAAGATGATTTCTTCGATGACTCTGGTAGTAACCCATTAGATGGATATGAAAATAATAATAGAAAAGAAGAAAGTTCTCCATTAATACCATTAGGAAGTACAGAAGCAGTTACGAAGTCTCAAGTCTCGAGTATGAAAGGTACAGCTTCACCATCGAAAGTATTTCTCTTATTGATGAAATCCTTTGTGGGGACCGGTGTATTATTTTTACCACAGGGTTTCCATAACGGTGGTTTAACTTTATCAATATTCTTATTAATATTTTTTGGTGGTTATTCCTATTGGTGTTATTATATCTTAATTCAATCTAAAGTTTATACAAAAGTTGCCTCATTCGGTGATATTGGTCTAAAGACATATGGACCCTGGATGAAATTTGGTATATTATTAGCTTTAGTTCTAACACAAGTTGGGTTTTCAGCAGCATATATGATATTTACAGCAAAGAATATTGGTGCCTTCTTACAAAATGTCTTTAGAGTTGAAAATTTAAAACTAGGTTATATTATGTTATTCCAATTAATAGTATTCATTCCATTGTCATTCATTAGAAATATATCGAAATTGTCATTACCATCACTTTTTGCTAATTTTTTCATCATGATTGGATTAATCATTATTTTATTCTTCACTATGAAACATTTATTTATTACATTGGATATGAAACCTGCAGAAGGTGTCATATACGGTGTAAATGGTAGTAGATGGACATTGTTTGTAGGGACAGCCATTTTCACTTTTGAAGGTATTGGCTTAATTATTCCTGTTCAAAACTCTATGAAAAATCCAGAAAAATTCCCATTAGTTCTTGGTCTAGTAATTATTACAGTTACTCTATTATTTGTAACTGTAGCAGTCGTTGGTTATTTGTCATACGGTTCAAAAGTAGAAACTGTGATCCTATTAAATTTACCTCAAGATAATATTACAGTCAATCTTATTCAATTGTTTTATTCTATTGCCATTATGTTATCAACACCATTACAATTATTCCCAGCAATTAAGATTATAGAAAATAAAGTATTTGCAACAGGTGGGAAATTTATCTTAAGGACTACTATGGGTGAAAGAGCTGTAAGACAATTTACTGAATCCGGGAAATCAAACTGGAAAGTGAAGTGGACAAAGAACCTTGGAAGAACTTTCATTGTGTCTACTGTTGTATTAACAGCTTATTGTGGTGTAGACTCATTGGATAAATTTGTGTCCATTATAGGTTCATTTTGTTGTCTTCCGTTAGTCTATGTCTTCCCAGCTCTTTTACATTTAAGATGTTGTTCATCGGCACGAGAAAATGGAGATGATAGTAAGAAAACGAGATTCTTAATCATAGTTGATCAAGTCTTAGTCCTGTTCGGTATAATAAGTATGGTATATACATCCTATCAAAGTATATTTACGTAACATATAAATCTATTTCTAATGACATATTGCAATTATTTATTATTAATTGTTTACATTTAGTGGAGCGATGGGATGTTTAAAAATCGTATCCAAATTTAATATTTCCCAGACAAAAAAATAATTAATAGTTCAGTTTTCTTTTTTTTAATTTCAAAGAAGCAGAATTCGACTCAATATCGAGAAGTTATATTAATCTTCAGAAACAACATCATATATCTTATTTTCTTTTATAACCTATTTGATTCCTTTTCTTCTAATTCAAGTTAAAAGTTTGATGCTATGTTTCAATACCTAAAACTTCGTAATTATGTGTGTAAGAGAATTTTAACTGCAACATATATGATAATCGTAATAAAGACAACCAATACAATTCTCAAGAATCAATATCTTGGTTAGCGTCAATATAAGAAATAAAATTACAAGACAGTAATCATGTTTAACTGCTATAACACGTCCTCATCACATGACCGAACGGCTTTCGCCATACATAAAATTCGAAAGAATTCCGAAAAAAGCGAAACTTAATTATGATTGGTCTGTCATTTATAAAAATGGAACCCGAAGGCTTTTAGTTTAACTTATTATTACTTACGGAGAAAATGAGAACAAGTTTAACAAACAGACAGAAAACATATTTAGCACATTTAGTTTTAAGTAGTTTTTAATCCGATCAACCTACTCAATAGTGTAACAGAACTTATCAATTCATACTCTCAAAATGTCAAAATACTATTCCTTCGAGGAACAAACCCAAACCGAGTTTTCGTCAGAAGTTTCTCCATTTATATTGGCACCATTAGATGATTTATCATGCATGGAAACCACAATTTTAACATCAGGAAATTTAGTAACAGAGGCTACCCCAGTTACAAATTGGTTGAAGAAACAACGGATCAACGTAATCGATAATCGTAATGAAATCAAATCTGCAATCGATAAATTTGATTCCGAAAGGAGAGCTGAGTATAATAACGTAAAAAACTACTTTCAAAATAACATATTTAATAACAAACAAGAAAATGAGAATAGATTAGTACCTACATCGATTGTCGCATTGAGTGCATTTCTTACAGGAAGAATTATGTGCCGAAAAAGGTTTGGTTGGTCGTCTGTTGGTAATCCAACTTCGATATCCACTAAATTGATTAAAAGTCTTCCTAGTAGAATAATAACGCCTTGGGTATTTGCTTGTACAACATTTGCCATTGGGACTCCAGAGACATGGAATAACGTTACTAAAGTCATCAGCGAACGTTATATTCCTACTGATGTCTCTGAAACTGTGAAAAATACTTCCAATAGCATATACAACATTCTTATTAAAGCTCCAATTCAAAATATAAACCAATTTTCAGAGGTTACACTACCAGAAGCTGTCAAACAGATAAGAAAAAATTTCATTGAATTACTTCAAGTCTCCTAGGTTTTGACGTAACCTGTTCTAAAAAACAAATTATGCTATCAGTCTTCATGCATTCGTGTTTTATTATTATCAATATATGTAAAATATGTATATAAAGATATTGTGAAATTCAATTTCTTTTTAATGGATATATTCTTAACTTTTCAAATCTCATTTAATATTGCATTCTATTCATTTAATGCCGTTATTAACCATGCTGGTGCATCAGCTTTCACTATTTCTACAATCTTAGTATCGAATGCCTCAATAAGTAATTCCACAAGGATTCTACCACCTCTACTACCAGTGAATCTTCTATATTCTTCTGAGACACTTGCCAAATTCCATCCCATGATTCTTCTCAAACATCCTATCACTGTACCAGTTCTATGTCTACCCATACCGCAACATACTAATAACGGATAATTTTTTCTATCAACTATTGTCTGCAAAGCATTAATAATGGAGTGTTCTGTAAGACCATCCCATGGATTGTCGTCTTCCCCACCATCGGGATTTATTGCAGCAAATTGTAAAGAAATATTATAACTATCACAAAACTCCAATAGTGTATCTTGAGGTTCTTCGTTAGCCAACCAAATGATTGTCTTAAGATTTAGGTTTAACAAAAATGGGAAATTAACAGGTGATGGCTGTCCCGATCTATAAAGATATCTCTCTACGGGACAAAAATTCAAGGGTGGCACTATACGTTCCTGTGGAGCGTGTGATATGAGTATCTTCTCTCTACCTGATTCAGTTTCTTCATTTATATAAATATGATCGTCCTCATCCTCTTCTTCGTCGTCATTAACATCATTATCATCCTCACTATTCGTTGGAACATGTCCTATCTTACTGGCATTTTCACTTTGATCATTTGATACCAGTATATCTTCTAAAACCTGCGGCAGGTTTGGGTCACTACTCCTATTTTTTGATGCCATTTGTGTTGTACGTCTGTTGATTTATATATAGATATATAACTATTATTATTATTAATTGATTGATTAAGAATTAACTTGTGATACATTGTTTTAACAAAATCTGCCACAGGATAACCCAAAAAGTCATCGTAATCCTTATAATCACATCACATTTTTTGAAGTTTCGAGTTACTGATTGACTTTATTCGTGCTACATGACCCAATTCCTCAATTTTTCCTGATTATGAAATCAAGAAAAATAACCTACTGAAACCCTAATTTTTAGAAGACTCCGCTATTGAATTCAAACCCTAAACCTTTACGTGTTCTTTGAGAAAAATGCATAGATTCCTAAGTAATACGTTTAACGTTGGGACATTTTGGCGTGTCACTTAGGTTTTATTATTATGATTATTATATAAGAAATGTAAAATAATCAGGAAAAATTATTGACATACAATTGTACTCTAATAGCGACTCCTACGATTTAAGGTGATATCTTTTGTTATAATTATATTTTCTAATTCCACCGATTCATTGTTATTGTCTCTCTTTCTAAATAAGTGCAGGTTAACTAAATATTCCCAGGAATAATAACAAAAATAAAGGATACAATCATATTACATTAAGAGAAATGGCTCCAGTTATTCAAAAGAAGAAAAACCCTGCTTCCAAGGAGGACATTCAAAAGGATTTTGTCGAAGCAATTAACCTATCCTTTACATCCTACAAGAATCAAGTTAAAAATAACCGTAAATTGAGACTGATCGATATCTTCGGTGCTATTTTGGTCGTCGTTGGTATTTTCCAAATAGCTTTTGTTGGTATGATCCAAGATAATTATCCTTTCAATGCTTTCCTAGCCGGTTTCATAATATGTGTAGGTCAATTCGTCCTATTGATGTGTTTGAGATTGCAATTGACCCATCCATTCGAAGGGATCTCTAAGAGCAAAGCATTTGGTGAATTTATCATTGCTAGTTTGATCCTACATTTTACTTGTCTACATTTCATTAATTAGAATGATATTTATACCAAAGAAGTCATAAACTCCTTTATGGTGTCATATATCACTCCTCTATATACATTATAAAAATATCAAAAAAAAAAATAGAAAAACAATAATATAATATAATATAATAATATAATATAATATAACATAACATAACACAACATAATATATATAATATATATAATATATATAAAAACACATTAATATAATCGATCATTTAAACGTTCATAATACATCTCCTCTTAGAAAATGCTATCTCTTCATATAAATATGGATGAGGATATAGCGCAAATGGGACTTTATTTTAGCTACACTACTGTTTCAATTTCATTTTGTTTTGACAATCTTTACAATACCATTTACCCTTAGGAAGTGTCTCTAAACCGATGCATGGTAAATGGAACCATTCTAATTCACAACTATCACCGTCGCACCCAACCATTTCACCGTACGCTACTTGATTACAGTAACAATATAAAGGTTCACCATAGTCATTTGTTTTTGGTCTATCAACATATATAGATTTAACTACTGGCTCTATAGGAGCTGATATTGGTTTTGCTTCTTGTTTCTTAGCGATAACTTCAGTATTAACCCTTCTCTTTCTCCTTTTTGGCTCATTCACAGATCCGTTGGCAACTCTTTTGATTTTCATAGGAGGTTTATCATCTTCAGCAATAGCTGATTGCTGATTTTGTGACTGTGGGACCGGTTTCTGGGTTTGTTTTTTTTGTGCTGCCATAGCTTCTCTTCTCGATTCACTCTTTAAAGCTTGTGATGATTTTGTAGCGCTCTTGTTCTCAATTTTGTCCATTAACTCATGATGTAGATGCATGGCTGGATGATTATCGTTCCCTAAACGTAACCTTGTTGGGATTTCTTGATTCCGTAAAGCTACCTCATATGCAAGCTCTAATCTACTATTTAACGCTTGTAATGACTCAAGCATTATCGAAGAAACATGCATTTTCTCTTCTAATGATGGCATCAACTCTTCAAATAAATTGTTAATTTGAGTCAACGACCCAAGTTTTTTCGATTTAAATTCTTCTACTGGTAAGGCACTTTTGTCAAAAGAGTCCTTCAAGAAGGAATCAATCTTATTGTTTAAATCTGGTCTTGAGTATATACATTTCGCATCTATTTCATGTAATAAAGTTAAATAACGGGATGTTTCTATTGGATATTCTTCTAATACGTCGGCGATATCATTTAACCCAGGGTATAGATTTGCAGGAGTACTCATTTTTTATACGTATTTCTATATATCTGGGAAATTAATCTGTGGTATGCGTCTAGGACTTATTATGTTCACGCTGATATGTTGCAAGGAGATGCAAAATGTGTATACATCCTTTATTTATTTATCTCTTTTATTATTTATACTTATTATGAAATCACATTTTGAACGTTCCTTTTTTTATTTTAATTATAATATATAAGGCTCCGTATTTTTATTGTGGAAAAGAGAAAGCGTTAAACTGATGAGTTCTATAGAGTAAACCGATACAGTAATATATTATTTTGTTAGATTCAAATAACACCAAGAGTTCCATTCAAATTAATCAGAATGAAGTTTGCACAGATGATCAGTTGATTGTACATGTCACTATATATGAACAAGAAAAGAAAACTTAGATGGTAATGCTTTGATACTTTATAAAAGATTATAATATTGATAATAAAAATACATAGAGGAGTAGGATTGTTAAGCATAACAATGATCTAATAAATGCATATATGTATATAATACAAACATCTATTAACATGTTCTTGCAAAAAAACCACTGTTCATTCTAATGGGATAAATTTGTTATTTAATTTTATATCTGTTTAATGGGTTTCAGATGGGATTTCGAAAACAATTTGCTTACCAGTTAGCTTAGAGTAGACAGCTTGGAAAGATTCTAGTTTGTAATCGATTTGTTGAACATCCTTGGAGTCCAATAGGATCTTTTGGATCTTGTTACCACCGACTAGGTATCTAACTCTCTTACCGACGATTTCAGTTGGGAAAACCATGTCTTCTAGGATCTTTTCGTGGACAGCAGTCAAAGTTCTAGATCTTGGTCTCTTTTGAGAGTTCTTAACACCTCTAGCTGGCTTTGGTAGGATTCTTCTTTCAGCTAGGAAGATGATGTGTCTGTCTTGGAACTTCTTTTCTAGTTCTCTGGTCAACTTGGTTTGAACCTTGTGGTAAGCGGCTAGTTGTGGAACTGGGACGAAGACGATCAAAGCCTTCTTACCTTGAGCAACATCGATTTCTCTGATGGACTTGAATTGTAGAGGTCTTAGTTCAGCCTTTAGGTCAGCGGAAGAGTTTTCCAATTCGGTGAAAGCTTGGGCAACTTGCAATTCCAATTCAGTTGGGGCAGCAGATAGGATTTTGGTAGACATTTTCACTAGTTTGTTGTTCGTTTATCTTTGAAATGTAAATAAATTACGAAATATTGAATGAGTATATATTTATACTGTGTTTAAAGAAAAGCTACTATTTTATTAATCATTAAGTTACTAGATGTTGCGCATAAAGTCTATAGCAAGTGAGAGAGAGCGTGAGTGCGTATACATTGCAACAATATGCTACCACTATGGTGATAATGATGATAATGATACTATTGCATTACACACAACTTTTCCAAAGAAACACCAACAACTTCATATTTTGTCAATGTACAATAAAGTTGAAAAATTTCAGATAGTATTGAGAACAATGTGCAATGTTTCAATCTGGTGAAACTGAATTGAACTGTAGGTGCAGTGTCACATTCGTACGACCATCCACTGGAATGAGTTCTGTTAGAAAACATTTCAGAATATATTTTCACTTTTTACATTTTTTGCGCGTAGTAATCACATCTCTCTGTAATCATTCTTTATTTTTTGGGAAAATTCTAGAAAAAAAGTTTTGAAAAAGTTTTATGAAATTTGAATATATGTATAATTATATGGATGCACGGGTGTTGAAATTTGGATCAGTCACAAATATATATATATTTCGACATCAGATATAGTTTAAAGCAAGAAAATGGGAGGTCTTGTTTAGACCTTTAATTGAACCATTAACATGTAAGTTACCAAAAAGGGTAATGATATTATTAGCAGTGGGTATTGCAGAACGATGAAGAACGAAGTACAATCAATTTGGACATGATCTTCGGCATCAGGTGGTGTATAACTTGCAGTGAAATATATTAATGTAGTCATTGTAGGTAAACCCCACGTCATTGAAATAACAAAAAGCAACATCTTATCATCTTCCCAAGTACACCAACCTGCTTTCACCAATCTGTCACACCACAAGACACCGAATATTGGCATTACACATAATTTTAGAAACACTAACAATGTGGCAGTTTTCCAAAACCCTGGATATAATGAACTAATTTCTAATCTACCTAATGTGGCCCCCAATAATAACAAACCAAATGGGACAGAGGCTGCACCCAAGTAACCTGTATAATCCATTACAAAGCTTAAAACAGGTTGTTTATCTGGAGCTAACCCAACAAAAGGGGTGTGATTTGAAGTGACAAATAAAGCTTTTAACCACGGCATGAATGCAATGAAAAGTCCAGCAAATACTGCAACAGAACATGGTCTTAAACAATTTGTTAAGAAAAACATTAACAGATGAGACCCTGGGATTTTCATAATAATATGTGGTAAGACAGTATCACCAGAAACATCAATATCATGTTTATTCACTGTAGCGTCTGATGTCACCATTCTTGTCAATCTTGAAGATCTAATACGATCCATTATAGGCAATTTTTTACCTGTTTTCTCATCAATAGAATAGCCACTACCATCACTATAAAGTGTGGACATTGAGAATCCCGAAGCGAAAGAAGCATGACGTTCTTTCCCAAATTGATCAACATTAGAATATTCATGAATCATATCTGGTAACCCTTGAATGGGCATAGTGGTTCTTTGATCGATCGACCTAACGGAATGTAAAGTATTTATAGAATCAGCTCTATTTCTCAACGCTGAAGAAGAAGATAATAACGAAGATGTATGAGATGCTGCTGCCATACATGATGGACAATTACTCATATTACTTGATCGGTCATCGTTATTGTAGTCACTGCCATCACCGTAAGCCTGTACGGAAGATTGTGTCATTGAAGAAAATGTGGATACAGATGGTAGTGATGATATTGCAGTTGGTGCCATACTGCTTCTTGTATGAGTAGGAGCCAACGATGCCATCTGTGAATCTAGAGTGTACATCGACTCTTGGCTCTCTTCTTCTAATTCAGGTACTGAAACCAAACTCGATCTATCAGATTCTCTAGCATTTTGCTGTTGTTGATGATAATCTTTATTATATGAAGGTGATATATCTAGACTTGGAGTAATAGATTGAGACTCCATATCAGCATATCTAAAGTCGTGTTCAATTAGGCGAAACCCTCCGAGGTTAAAGACACATAATAAGAATGTAGCCAAAAATATAATTGCACAAGCGACACCTCTAGCACCTTCTTCTTCGGTGAAGACAAATGTATCCATTGTTTGTAAATAAGCAATTGGTAAATCTGAAATATTTGGAAACATTCCTCCTGCTAGGATTCCACCTTTCCATTCAGGTGGACATGGTAATAATGATCGTACAATAAATGCAGCACCAAGTCCCGTTGCATAGACTAAGACTGCACTAATTGCTACTATACCGACCGTTTTTGCATCCCTTACTTCTAATGATCCCACAATCTTATTAAATGCTAAACATGGCAGTAGTACTGCGAGTACTAAATCCGATATTGCACGTGTAGTTTCCACAGATAATAGTGCTAATCGACTTAATGCTATTCCTGTTGCGATAATTAGGTATATTTTTATAATTGGTTTAACTGAGGCCCATATAGCCTCTCCTAAAGTAATTGTCATTGTTGTATGTGTATGTTTAATGGATGTATATATATATGTTTATCTTATTGTAATAATTAATTTCATGTAAATCTCGCTCAAGATAATGAAAAGAGGCATTATTTACTAGACAGTCTATTATTTGATTAATAAATGTCTGATTTTATATCACTGTATATATACATTATATAATAACAAAATATCAAAGATAAATATAAATATAACGTGCAAATAATAGAACGTGGGCTTAAACACTATCTATCAACTTCAAAATAATAAAAATAAATTAAGATTTGGATTATGAACTGTACCTTAAGTTGTCATTTATTTATCTCTCCTCCTTAACCACCTAAATTTCAAGAAGTAGAAAATATGTATTAATAGACAGAGTTCTTATGAACAGAATATCTCCCCCTTATATTTAATATTCGAAGAAAAAACAACTAAACGAACCAACCTGGGTACTAAAGTTGTCTTGACCATTATTCCTTTCGTTACATTGTTCCACCCTCCTCATCCTCATCTTGTATTACTATAATAAAAGTGTTAGTGAGGGTCATGATGTTTTGCCCCATTACGTGAGTGGTCAGCCGTACAGTCTGCTTTGTCCGTCTGTCTATTAATAGGGCGTAGAGGGATATTACCAATTCCATTATATATATTTTGGCTCTGGCTATAGTGTGTGCGCAGGAACAGTTATTAGGGGGTGTACTGTGCGTGTTTCTCTCTCCCTTTTTCCCTCGTTTCTCTCCTCTTTCAGAGAATATCCCCAGCACAGCGACCGAGAGGAGAAACATGCGCTTCACGTGACCGTTTTCTATTACTTTTGCTTTGAAATTTGGAGGGGCAGTTTCCGGCTGAATTAACAGTGCACCAAATATATGTGTTGGGGCATCTATTCTTGGGAGGGTTGCTCTTCATCTGGCAATGGAACACGCACCAATGGTTCTGGTAGTGGGATTGTTTCGTTATCGCCGTTATTAGTAGTAGTGATATTGGCAGCAGCAGCAGCAGTAATAGTAGTAGTATTAGTGGTATTAGAATTTTTATTACCCCCATCGTCCATTGATGCGGGGGCGTAGTCACTGTCTACGTAGCGGAGCAGCCCCAAACCAGCTTGCGATACAGCTCTCGAGATATTATCCCATATTTGCATAACATCACTAACACGATCTGAATTTTCTTCTAATTGCTGAACCTCTGAACTAAGAGAATCAAGTTGAGATTTAATACTCTCTGTTAGATTACTTATTTGGGTTAATTGTTGTAATTCGCGTTGTTTTTGATCTCTTTGTTCAGTTAATGACATTTTTATTTACTCGTGTGTACACGTATTGAAGCTCTATTCTAATACAATTGGAGTACCTAAACTAGTAACAGCATCAACATTCGCAATGTATTTATTTATTTATATATTTATATATAAATATATTTTCTTTTAATTCTTTCTGCTTCAAAACATTTCGCGTTGTTAATCCAAAAAATCGAAATTGAAGAATAGAAATAAATCACCCACAACATTATGCACTGTAATCGTTTATATTTTCATTTTTCATTGAAACTTCGCTCTGTTTAGGGTAGAGGGACCTTTCTTTTGAAATTTAACGAGTATGCCAGATTTTGGGAATTCTACCTCTACTAAATTAATATTTTGTTTGGAAAAAGATAGTCATCTAATAACTAATATTACCATCTGTTTAGATAACTGAAATTCATATATAGACAGATTGGTAAATTATGACCTTGTATTATCATACCATATATAAAATATATACATATACATTCAGTAAATTGTTTTTTTACTTTTGTATATGGTTAATTGGCGTTCATTGTATCGTCTAAGGAGACGTATTAAGATGGAACAACTTTCAAAACAACGATGGTTTAGTAATCCTGATTCTAAAACAATACCACTAGACACTGCCATTCTATTATACCCAACATATACATGTAGTACGAATAGTTCAAACACTCAAGAGTATTTAACAAGACTACGTCTATTGGTAGCTGCTCCAGGTAATGAAAATTCAAGAAAAAATAAAATCATCTTAACGTTATGTAAACAATACTTAAAGGAACAATCATCGATCACTCAATCTAGACTCAATGGGTTTTTATCAAGAAGTATACCGACATCAAGAATCATCCTAGATTTGTTAAATAATAATAATACTGTGGCAGATACTCAATTCTTAGATACTGACCCGAGAGGATTGCTCACGACAACTCTAACAAGCTCGTACATCCCACATGCATTAAGGGTCACTTTGGATACACCATCGAGTTTTCCTCGATTGATATCAGATGTATATCCGACTCATTACATTAAACCGAACGGGATAGGGGTCATTAGTGATATAGATGATACGATTAAACATACAGGTGTCACAGGTGATAAGAAATCCATGTTTAAGAACGTCTTTGTCACAGCGTGGCAGGAATGGGTCGTGGATGGGATTCCACAATGGTTTAATGGCTTGGCTTCACAATATAATGTCGATTTCTTTTATGTATCGAATTCCCCGTTACAATTATATCCTACTTTACAAAATTATATTTCAAAGACGTTACCTAATGGCCCAATCTTTTTAAAACAATATGCAGGAAATATGTTCGCTAGTATAATGAACACATCATCAGCTAATAATAAGAAAGACACTATCGAACAGATCCTGAATGATTTCCCACTGAAAAAATTCTTATTGATTGGGGATTCAGGGGAGAAGGATTTTGAAACATATATCGACATTGCATTGCGATACCCTGAACAAATCATTGCCATTTATATTCGTTGTTGTAAGGATTCCATCAGTGATGGGAGTCACAACGATGTCGCAATGGTGCAAGAATTAAACGACACCATTGCAATACAATATATGAAACCATTCCAACCGCCGTCAGTACCGAGTAAACCATCAATCACTTTGACAGACTCTCAAAGGGAATCCATTAGAGTCTCGAAGGAAAGAGTACCTCCACCACCACCACCTCCTTTACCAAAACGCCCGTCGTCTTCGCTGCCTCCCTCAACATCATTATCATCATCATCATCATCATCATCATCATCATCATCATCGTCATCATCGTCATCATCGTCATCATCTTCTTCTGAAGCTTCGATATCTGCTTCTCCGAACCTCCCTTTACGACCCAGAGAAAAGAGTTCAAGTCATGACATGTATGTAATGCCTTCGACACAGAACGATTATAATACATATGATGAATATTTCGATAAGAATGCTGACTCTTGGAAATTAAGACTGAATGCTGGATTACGACAATTAATTAATTTACCGAACTTCAACATAGATATCCAATTCTTCATTGATCCAACAACTTGCATGACAAATTCAATGAAATTAATACGTACTCGTAAATAGAATAAATAACCAATTAAGAAGCATATACATTTTATTTAAAACCGAACTGTGACGTTAACCTTATTCAATAAAGGAAAAGATCATTATTTTCTACCGATGATTCCTAATCTAAAAAAAATTACACATACTCATCTAAATATCAAGATGCTCTACCTTGCACATGATAAATATTTAATCACCTCTCCACTCCACTTTAAACTGACGCTACATTACTTGATTATGATTATAATGATCATCAGCATCGTATCTATTATCACAATACATTATTTTAATATGCTTCGCTTTTTAATAATACCCGGCGGCGCCCCAAATTTTAGTTGTTGGTTTTCGCTTAACGCAAATGGAATGAAAATTTTGATTGTTGGTGAACTCTCTCTAAACACAGATAGGCCGATTGTTGTAACAGTTTAATTTTGTTTAAAAAATTAGGTGGAGGAAGATACAGCTGTCATTCATAAATAAAGATTAAATCATTAAAGATAGCTAATAGTTAGAAATACAAGAAGCTTATCAAGCTATTAAAGATATAAAACCATTATATATCTACGCAATAACAGGATGGCTCCAAGTTCTAAAAATAAGAAGAAGAAGGCTAAGGCCAAACATGGTAAAAAGAATCATTCTAATAATGACATCAGCCCGTCGAGGCTACCAACAGAAATGAATGCAGAAGTATTTGATAGTTCTGAAGAATATCCAACCAGTCGTGTTATAAAGAGTGGTCCAAATGGTGACGTTATCGTGGAATCAATAACTTCCGATGATGATGACATGAAACATAAAAAGAAAAATGATGCGAAAGATAATACAGATAATATGAACAATAATGAACCTTCTACTATGGCATCTGTCTTAGATAATCATTGGGAAACTTTATCTCCAGAGATTAAAAAGAGAATACTAAGAATAGATAAGAATGAAGTATTTTATGTCATCCAAAAATATCAAAGCACTCATAATTGTAATTGTACAGTTTGTGGACGTCGTCATATGTCTATGGACCAAGAAATGGAAAGGATATATAATACATTATATGAGATCGATAAAGTGAAAGATCCAGAGATTAATCCGGTGAAGTTCCATCTAGGTATAATTAAGGAGCTTCAACTTTCAAGACATACGGATGAGAACAATACTGAAGAATCGCCGTCTAGGGTACCTCATGACGATACGCTCAATGGTAGCACTCCGATAAAATCTTTTATACCCTCTAGTAATGTGGAGTCACTGAAAGAAGAAGTAATGCATTTTAAACAGAATAGACAACGAAAATACATAGACGACGAATCATCCAACCAGAACAAAGGACAATTAAATACTGAAGATGAAGAAAACGTTCTTGAAACTAAACAAAATGCACCACAGATTGCTTTAGCACAACAATACAAAGATTTTACCAAGAATTTTATATCATCTCATCCAAAACTAGCCAGTGAATATGTTAACAAGATGATGCTTTATCCTGATATGTTAAATGTGACGAACAATATGATGGGTATTGGTTCAGATAAAAATTTTGTTGCAACAATGACTGATTTTGTAGCCCAAAAACTGAAGAATGGTGCTGATGAAATAAATAAGGACGGCATGGGTGACCCGAAGGTGTTTACTACCATGTTACATAACGGTACACCTTTAACACCTGATGAATATATTGAACTTCAAAGGAATATCGCGGATAGAATGACTAACTCCTATGATACAAAGAAAAGAGAATTTAACTCCATATCCCCTCTTGAAAAGGAATTATTTGTAAGATTTATGTTAAGTGATAACAGAAAACAATTTGAAGATATTGTGATGCAATCATTTCGGGAAAAGTTCGACTACGAATTTGGTGGATCATCTATCAGTGCGTCATTGGCTGCTGCAGCCGCAGCTGCAACGTTAACTAATCCTCTTTCTGCATTAAATTCAACGCAAGATTCTACAAAGTTCCATAACTATGATGCAAGGAATGATGTTTCTGATGATGAATACGAATATTCAGATTATGATGATGAAGAAGAAGAAGAAGACGACGATGAACACGGTGGAAGTGGAATTTTATCAGATTATTTAGAAGACGAAGATGAAACTCATCCAAAAGCTAGTTACGACGAAGATGGTCATTTTGACGCGAATGATCACATGATGAAACACCATCCCGAACACTTGAATTATACTCCTCAACCTAACAATGGAAATTTCCACCAATATTTGGGATCTGATGAATTTGAAGAAGATGGGGACAGTTATGATGATGATGAGGAAGAAGCAGAAGAAGAAGAATTTGAAGGAGAAGAAGAAGAAGAGGAAGAAGAAGAGGGAGAAGATAATGATATTGGCGATGAAGAAGATGGTTATGAAAGTCCTTACGACGAAGCTGAACGTTTAGAAGAAGGTCGTAAACTATTACAAATTGCAATTACTAAACTCTTGCAAGGTCGAATATTAGAATCCTACCACGAATCGGAAGCTGAAAATAATAGATTAAAATTGTTAAAAGAATTAGAAGATGAACAGAAATCTAAGGAAGAGAAGAAACAAAAGAAACAAAAGAAGAAGGAAAAAGAAAAAGAAAAGAAAAAACAACAACAATTAGCTAAAGAAGAAGAAAAGAGGAAAAAAATTGATGAAGAGGAACGAATTAAAAAGGAAAACGAAGCTCGTGAATTAGAAAGAAGAGAGGCCCAACGTAAGAAAGTAGAAGAAGTTAAAAGAAAGAAAGATGAAGAGAAAAGACGAAAGTTAGAGGAACAACGTAAAAGAGAAGAACTCCAGGAACGTCAAAGAAAACTAAAGGAAGAACAAAAACGTAAAAGAGAAGAAGAAAAGAAAAAAAAGGAGGAAGAAAAGAAAAAATCAAAAGAAAGTAAGAGACAGATACAATCTGAAGAAACCAGTAAAAATTTAGAGCTAGAACGACAATCGATTCAAGCACCACTTTCACAAACTGATGATAGCTTACCACCCCTTAAGCAATCTAATATAACAAAGGAATCAAACATTTCAAGCAATATTTTGGAACCTCCAAAGTTTGAAAGCGTTAGTAACGACATTTCAGATATTATAAGTTCCGTAACTGCATTCAAATCTATCTCTGAATCTCCGTCACACCTTCAAAATCTATTACATCCTCAAATCCCTACGATGGGAACGCCAGTCTCGAAAACTGCTCGTAGTAGTATTGACCAAACGACCAACCCACTTGCTTTAGATGCAAACCAGTTATTCCCAACAACAAATAGTCTGCTCTCTACACCTGTCTTACCAACATCAAGACAAAATGAATTTGATAATCTATATTCATCGTTATCGAATAATCCACCTCCAGCATTAGCAGGGTTGCCTGGATCTAATATGGAGACACCTTTGTGGAATTCCTATTCGTCTCCAAGCATATCACAAGCGATTGGGAACCCTATGACCCAAACAGATCCATTGGCATATCGTTCTGTCACAGGGACACCACAAGCTAGATTGGCTTCTTACAATCAAATTGCAAATACCAATCAATCCAAACAATCTTTCACTGATGAATTAAATTCTTTAACAAACATGCTTTCATATTCTGGTTTGAATGAACCAAATTTTACAACTAGTTCTGCTGATCAGATGTGGAATAATGGACAAAGGAATTCCACATCAGCTAGAATAGCAACACAACCGATGAGTAACTTGAATACATCGGGCAGTTCTCTTCATAATTCTGTTCCTTCAACTGCTATGCATCAATTTATGGATACCAATTCTGCACGTTCAGGTTCAATATGGAATAATAGTATAATTGATCAAAGCAATCAAACTCCTTTAGCTAGTTCAACAAACAATACTTCAAGGGTTGGAGCGAATACGATGAATAGACCACTTCAAGATCAAACAACTGACGTATCAAATTTGTTACCTTCTAGCATTTGGAATGAACCGTCTCCAACTTTCATGAATACGAATACCAATATGGTACCTCAAACCTCCAATAATAATATTTTCAATAAGGAACAATCTATTTCAGATATGATTTACAAAGAGTGTAATATATTGCAACAACAAGATCCGTTACAACAACCTTATATTTTGACTGAATTACTATTCCATCGTATAGCTTTCTTAGGGTTAGATTATAATACTTTCATGAATATTCTATTGAATATGAGAAGTAATTATGGGGTAGAGGCAATTCCTGATGTTAACGGGACAATCTCACATATTATGTTGAGTAAGAGTACAATGATGCCTTCACCACCCTCAATAGCTGATATCAGTCTCCATCCTCAAGATCCAATGAACTTGGCTAATGATGTCTTTAAATCAGCTAGTGTTAATACTTCAATGGGTAATATAGACTAAAGGCAAAGTAGTTTTCCTTCTGGACCTTTATTACATAATTCGATTCCATCATCTGGATTTCACAATAAATAGAATGCTAAATAAATATTTCAGTTTAATTAAACAACAGATACGCCAAGTATTAAAAAAACATGAGCCAAATGGTATTATGATAAATACTCAACGTAGATAATAGTGTCTTTATAAAATCTAAAATTAGTAATTATGAACAACAATTATTTTTTATTTGACCTTCCAAAAGGGTCTCCCTTATGTTATGTGTCTATTATAATACCTCTATTATGAACTGTCACTATAATAATAATAATATTCGGAAAAATTAAATTCTACAGGCTGTATCAATAAGCCTCAAGGCGCACGCAGTAAATATTAAAGTCAAACGAACAAGTCATTGTTTTACTTTAATGTTCCTTAGAATGTACATGTAAAGAACAAATTAAGGTAATAGCACCGGTAGAGTTAATATAAATCATATCATAATAATATATTTGTTGTTTTTAAAATTTCCCTATAAGGCTTGAAACATTAACCACGAACCATTTTCCAAAGGCTGCAGTTATTTGTTTTATAACTTGAATAATATATTTATATTTATAAATCTTTTTTTTCACGAACTAAGATATCGAAAGACCTTTAATAAAATCCCATATCAATTTAAATTTGTAGAATATCACAACTAGTGAGAACAGCTATTGCAATATATTGTTCTACATTTATTAAAACTCGAAAGAAACAGGTAAAAGGAAAAAGAGAGGAAGGACATCTTATATTACCCTTATTATCAATTTATAGACTATACACTCTCACAATGCCAGAAAATGCAATCAAGAGAAAATTGGTTATTATTGGAGATGGTGCATGCGGTAAGACATCGCTATTATATGTATTTACCCTGGGCAAGTTTCCAGAAGAGTATCATCCTACAGTGTTCGAGAACTATGTTACGGACTGCAGAGTAGATGGAATCAAAGTCTTACTAGGTCTATGGGATACAGCAGGTCAAGAAGAATATGAACGATTAAGACCATTTTCCTATTCTAAGGCAGATATACTATTGATTGGGTTCGCTGTAGACGATGTCGAATCATTAGAAAACGCAAGAAATAAATGGGCAACTGAAGCTCTTAGATATTGTCCTAATGCTCCCATAATATTGGTAGGCTTAAAGAAAGATCTTAGAGAGAAAGGACTAAATGAACATGGTGAAAAGGTAGAAATGGTTAATCCAAAGGATGCTCAAGAAGTAGCAAGGGCCATCGGAGCAAAAAAATATATGGAGTGTAGTGCATTAACAGGTGAAGGAGTAGATGATGTCTTTGAATTAGCAACGAGAACAAGTTTATTAATGACAGATGATCCTGGTACAAAATGTTGTACGTTATCATGACCATCCTTTAAACGATTCTCATAAAGTCTCAACTTTTCACATCCAATTTTAACTGCATATATAATAAGACAAGATCATATATAGAGATATATACATACACATCTATATACACTGAATTGCACACACATTTAGATACTTCACTAAGTACATTTTTTTACATGTTGTTCACTCTCAAGAAAATCATACAAAGTCATCACCTTCTAACGTCACAGTACAAACCTCTTCCATAAGTAGTTTACCAATCACATATAACATATATCTATCAATCAATATGACTTTTATGTACATATGTAATAACAAGGAAGTTTTGTGACAATTAAAATAATAATGAAAGATTCAAGATGGGTTAATTATTTTATAATTAGTGAAGTTTTGTTTAATAATCAAATTATTTAGTCAAATCTAACGACGGAACCTTCTTTTCTTACCTTCGGAAAGCATCGTTGTAACCAATTATATCCCGATAAAGACATCATTGGGATTAAATGAGATGCTCTTGCAATGCCTCAACTTGATTCAAATTCTAATTCAGTTAGATCATTTTATAATAGATTCCGCGTTTCGGCATCCTACAAAACAAACAAAACACGAAAATTTTATATTATTATTATTTTTTTTCATTTGGGGTAAGGGGAAGATGACTTTTATTTATTTTGATTTTAAAATAAACAAATCTAAAATTTTTGAATAATAGAATATTTTGCTTTTGAATTATATATTCTATGTTTTGTTTCTGTGATTAATCCCATAACAACATTTTTAATAGAGATATTTAGTTCTACTAAAGCGGTTCAACAATGTCTAGAGCACAGAAGACCGCCACTGAGAGATATCAGAAAATCTCTCAATTGGAACATATCTTGAAAAGACCAGATACATATATCGGTTCTGTTGAATTTCATGAACAAGAACAATGGATTTTTGATGAGACGACGGAATGTCTAGTAGAGAAACAGGTTAAGATTGTCCCTGGCCTATTTAAGATCTTTGACGAAATTTTGGTTAACGCTGCAGATAACAAAGTCCGTGATTCATCAATGAAGAAGATCGAAGTTACAATTACTCCCGAAGAAAATTTAATTGAGGTAAAGAATGACGGTAAAAGTATACCGATTGAGATCCATCAAAAAGAGAAAATATACATTCCTGAATTGATTTTTGGTCATTTGTTAACTTCTTCAAATTATGATGATGAAGAAAAGAAAGTGACAGGTGGTAGAAATGGTTATGGTGCTAAATTATGTAACATTTTCTCTAAAGAATTTATATTAGAGACCGCTGACCCCAAGAAAGGTAAAAAATATGTTCAAATATGGGAAAATAATATGAATGTCTGCAAGCCACCAACTATCACTTCTTACAAAAAAGGGCCATCTTATACGAAGGTCTCATTCAAACCTGACCTAGCAAGATTCAATATGGAAGTCTTAGATGATGATATTCTGGGTGTTATGCGTCGTCGTGTCTATGATATCAATGGGTCTGTGAGGGATATCAGTGTCTCCTTAAATGGTAAAGCTCTGAAAATTAGAAACTTTAAGAATTATGTTGAATTGTATTTGAAATCTTTGGAGAAAATGAAACAAATAAATAACAATCAGGATGCAACCAAACAGGATACCCCAACAATTTTATACGAGAAAATTAGTGATCGTTGGGAAGTGGCATTTGCAGTTTCAGATATTTCATTCCAACAAATCTCTTTTGTTAATTCTATTGCTACGACATCTGGTGGTACACATGTTAATTATGTGGCTGACCAAATTGTTAAAAAAGTTGGTGATTATTTCAAGAAAAAGAAAAAAAGAATAAAACCATTTCAAATTAAAAACAACATCTTTATCTTTATCAATTGTTTAATTGAAAACCCTGCTTTTACTTCCCAAACAAAGGAGCAACTAACCACTCGTGTCAAGGATTTTGGTTCTCGTTGTGAAATATCAAATGACTACATTAATAAGATCTTGAAAACTGATTTAGCTACTAGAATTTTTGATGCCGCCGATGAGAACGATGCTAAAGCTCTAAAACAATCAGACGGGTCAAGAAAGAGCAGAATAACTGAGTACCCCAAATTAGAAGATGCTAATAAAGCAGGTACCAAAGATGGTCATAAATGTACATTGATCTTGACAGAAGGTGACTCTGCCTTGTCATTAGCTGTTCTTGGTTTAGCTGTTGTTGGTAGAGATCATTATGGTTGTTACCCATTACGTGGTAAAATGTTAAATGTCAGAGAAGCAAGTGCTGACCAAATTCTAAAGAATGCTGAAATCCAGGCCATCAAGAAAATTATGGGTCTACAACATAGAAAAAAATATGAAGATACCCAATCCTTAAGATATGGTCACTTAATGATCATGACAGATCAAGATCACGATGGTTCACATATTAAAGGTTTAATTATTAATTTCATAGAATCCTCATTCCCCGGTTTGCTGGATATCCCCGGTTTCTTGGTTGAATTCATTACGCCCATCGTTAAGGTAACAATCACAAAACCTAAGAAACAATCTATCGCGTTCTACAATATGCCAGATTATGAACAATGGAGAGAGGAAGAGAGTTACAAGTATTCTTGGAAACAAAAGTATTATAAGGGTCTGGGTACATCTCAAGGTAATGAAGTTCGTGAGTATTTTGCCGATTTGGATAAGCATTTAAAAACCTTCCATGCTCTAGAGGGCAATGACAAGGATCTTATTGATTTAGCATTCTCCAAAAAGAAAGCTGATGATCGTAAGGAATGGTTAAGACAATATGAACCAGGTACTGTGTTGGATCCAAATCTGACCGAAATCCCTATCAGTGATTTCATTAATAAAGAATTAATTCTTTTCTCCTTAGCAGATAACGTTAGATCCATTCCAAATATCCTTGATGGTCTAAAACCGGGTCAAAGAAAAGTTATGTTTGGTTCCTTCAAACGTAATCTACGTACTGAAATCAAGGTTTCCCAACTTGCTCCATATGTCAGTGAAGCCACAGCATACCACCACGGTGAACAATCTTTAGAACAAACTATTATTGGTTTAGCTCAAAATTTTGTTGGTACAAACAACATTTATATGTTAATGCCAAATGGTGCTTTCGGTACAAGGGCTACTGGTGGTAAAGATGCGGCTGCTTCAAGGTATATTTACACTGAATTGAACAAATTAACAAGGAAAATTTTCCATCCAGCTGATGATCCACTATTCAATTATTTACAAGATGACGAAAAAACTGTTGAACCAGAATGGTACTTACCAATTATACCAATGGTACTTGTAAACGGTTCTGAAGGTATCGGTACTGGTTGGAGTACAAATATTCCTTCGTTCAATCCAGATGATATTGTGAGAAATATTAGACATTTGATGGACGATGAAGAACTTGAACCTTTGTATCCTTGGTTTAGAGGTTGGACAGGTACAGTCGAAATCGTCGAAAAACAACGTTACAGAATGTATGGTAGAATCGAACAAGTCGGACCTAACAAATTGGAAATAACCGAATTACCAGCCAAGACTTGGACTTCTACTATCAAGGAATATTTACTACTTGGTATCAGTGGGAATGAAAGGAATAAACCTTGGATTAAAGATATGGAGGAACAACATAGTCACGATATCAAATTCATCATCACCCTTACTGATGAAGAAATGAAGAAAACCAAAAAGGTCGGTTTCTATGAAAGGTTCAAACTAATTTCTCCTATTAGTATGTTAAACATGGTCGGTTTTAACTCACACGGCAAAATTAATAGATATAATGATCCAAATGATATCTTAACTGAATTCTATTATGTTAGATTGGAATATTATCAAAAGAGAAAAGATTATTTGACTGAAATTTTGCAATGGGAATTAGAGAAATTATCCTACCAAGTGAAATTTATCAAAATGATTGTTGATAAGCAATTGACTGTTACTAATAAACCCCGTAAACAAATCATGGGAGAGTTTGAAACTCTTGGGTTCCCAAGATTTAACAAAAAGGGTAAACCATATTATGGTCCTATTGAATCAAATGAAAAGGCAGACGATGAAGATACCGAAGAAAACAACGAATCAAACAATAATAATCTTGAAGAAGGAAACGATACTGTTAATGGTCCCGAAGAAACCTACGGTACGTTTGAATATCTATTGGGTATGAGAATCTGGTCATTAACAAAGGAAAGATATGACAAGCTAATGAAACAACAACAGGAGAAACAAACAGAGCTTGAAAGCTTATTAAAGTTATCTGCTAAGGATATTTGGAATAACGACCTGGATGAATTTTCTAAAGCATACGATGAGTTTATTAAATTAGACCAAGAGATGAGAGAGGGTGAATCTGAAAATAAGAAATCAAAAGCCTCTGCCAAACGTAAAAGGGGAAGAAATGATGAAGATTTCGACCCAAATAAAAAGAAACCAAAGAGAAGACTCACCAAGAAGATAAAAGAGGAAGCAAACTTCAAGAGGGTTTTACTTAAACCTAAGGCTGTGGTGAAACCAAAACGTGTCCTTAAGATAAAGACGGAAGCTGTTACAAAAGAGGACAGTACTGTTCAATCTGAAGCACCATTAACTACAGGTCAAAACACACCTGAATTAACTGCAGATGCTGGCAAAAATGCTACAATTTTTGACAATGTTGTGAAGAAAGAGGAACCAGCTAGTGGAATAAGTGCATTCACCAGTAAATTTAAAAAGATAACTGATGTATTTGATAAAATGGATACTAAGGAAGTCGAGAATACTGCTGAAACTTCAACAAAAGAAGGCCAGTATACCACTGATTCATCCTCAAAAGATGAACAAGCCACACTTGTGGATACGACTGAAAAATCTACTGCTAAGAAAGATTCTCCTAAGAAATCTAAGAAATCTGTCGAATTATCAGACGAAAGTGATTTAGAAATTTTAAGTGATGCACAAGATGATGACAATGATGAAGAGATCCAACCACGTAAGAGAAATAGCAGAGCTAGAACTCCCAAAAAATCATACGTTGAAGAGGCAATCGAGCTATCCGATGACAGTTTCATCGACGATGACGATGAGAACGACGAGGTAGCTGATGATTCTGATGCATCCTTTGGTTTTGATCAATAAAAATTGTGCCATAAATAAAATGTATATATATATTAAATGTCCAAATAATTTTAAATAAGTAAAAAACAAATGTCTGATTTCTATGGAGGTAATCTTTTCGGTCAAACATATGTTACGTCAGGAAAATTTCCTGATCCTATATTTATTTACTTTCTTGGTTCAAGTGTGACAGCGAAAAAAAAAGGTGGAATTTGGAAATCACAGTTGTAAACTCATCAACGCCGAGAATAAACAAGATTGACTCATCGTTTTTTTCATCATCAATGGAAAACTGTAGTAGTACAGTATATAAGAAAAATGTTACTTTTAATAAAAGTACTTGTAAGTTTATCGAGGGTTCAACAAGTTAACCCCAAAGTACAGAATGCTTCGATTCAGAAGATATATTTCAGTTTCCAGGAACTTATTTCAAGCGATTTCAAAAGCCCAGTCACAAAGTTATATAAAATTATTTAAACAGCCATATTTCCATAAAATTAATGAGCAATTAAATAAAAGAATTGAAACATTAGAACCGTACGAACTTTCCAATGAGATAACTAATGTTGTGAAAGATTTAAAATTTACCGAGCAGGAAGCTTCTGTCGTGCATAACAAAATTATCGAAGAGCTGACTAAGTACAATTTTGGTATAGCTACTATTCAATCACAGCTTTTAAAGGAATTGAAACAGAAATTATCTATAGAAGCTCTTTTACAATTGATTGAACATAACCCTGGTAGAATTAACTCATCTTGGGATCTATTTGTTGACAATACGAAAGGTTTTGAGGAAGTACCAGACGAATTGTTTGTTAAAGTTTTGTTAAAAATTGTGAACTTTGATAGTGCAGATGTTAAGGATGGGAAGACTGCGATGACAGTTACTGATATTACCAATGCGATATATATTCTTTCAAATATAAAAAACAAAACATTAGTAGACCAAAAGTTAATTGATAGAATTGCCACTGCGATCTTAGAATCAAATGCCACCAAATGTCTCCCACTAATTTTAGGTTATTCTCCATCACTTCGTGTTTTTAATGAAAAATATGAAGAGTTAACATACTTACAAACCTATTATGTTTTTAAGTCGTACCGTTTCGAAGATTTGAGGACATCTCCAGTTTATGTATATAAATTGGTCAAAGGGACTGGAAGACCTGATAAACTAAAACCTACAGAAGAGGAATTAGAGGCAAACAAATCTATTGATGAACAAATTACAAATATTAACAAAATTTTAAATCACAAATGGGAACTCAGCACTCCTGAACTTGTACCAGCTCATGTCGAAAAGAATTTTTTCCGTATTCTAGAGGATTTACAAAATGGCAATAAGATCCAAACAGATTTTGGTTTCGTAAAGTTAATTCTGAGAATATTTTCATTAACTAGGGGAAATATCGAAGAATTTATGGATTTTTACATTAAATGTGGTAACAAATTTACAGAAATAAAAGATGAGATGGCGTTTGAAGCATACATGGCATATAGTTATAAGGCATTTAAAACAGGGGACGCATCGTTTCTTCAAGCTGCTCAAAATTGGTTGCCGAAAACATCCCATAATCCTATACTAAGAACAAATATACTAAGGGTATCGATTTTAACAAATTCGAGGTTTGATATTGAGAAATCTCTGAGTATATTTAACGATAATATCCACAACTTAAGTAAAGAAAAAAGTGAACACGAAATTGGATCTCAAGCTGATTTAGTCACAGAGTCATTGATATTAGCATATTTATATAAAGAAGACATTGATTTCGCTAGAATGGTACTTGATAAAGCAATGGGGGAAAAACTATTTTCTGGCAAGATTGCTGTCAGAAACATTCAGAAACATCTAGCCGGATATGGTGAGGCTGTCGAAAACAAGACTCTTCAAAAGTTCCTAAATGATGACATATGCGAATATCTGCAAAATTTATAGTATAATATATCTGGCCAATCATTATGTTATCTATGTAATCGTTATTTTATTTCTACTCATATCTGTAGTACTTGATTTCAATTCATATCGAAAACCTTTAAAGTTGCTTCTTACTATGGTCTGTTTCGACTATAGCAAAAATGCTCTGTACTCGGGTAATTTTTTGTCAATAGCTTCATAATTTAGTTTTTTTTATTTTGTACATTGTTTTCTCTCAGAACGAAATTTTTCAGCATCTGGAAAATTTTTTAAAATTGCAGACTTAATCTCATCTCATCGCAAAATAAAATGTATCTTCATCAGTCTATTGACATTTATATGAATCTTATACATGAAAAAGTAATAAAATTAGGTACATAACATATTGTTTTATACCCAATATTAAGAAAACAAACAAAAACAAGGCTATTATACATCTGATCTTCTAGAATGGCCAGGAAAAACAGATCACAATTTTCTATTCAAGAAAGAACAGCTAACAAAAGAAAACAAGAGGATGCACTTCTTGCCAGCGGTACCTTCGATGATGTAGGTGAAATTGCAGCCGACATGATATCTTATGAAGAGGAAGTAGTAGAGGAAACTCATCCAAGAAAGAGACGTTCGTCGTCCTGGGATGATGAAGAACAAGATTACGAATTGAAGCCAAGAGTATTACAGAACCCGGAAGAGGATATGGTGGAAGGTCTTCCTATTAAAATCAATGGTAAGGTCGAAAGAAACCTTTTGAAAAGACAAAAGAAAAAACATGAAATTGAGGAAGAAGAAGAAGAATCTGAGGAAGAAGTCAAGGAAGGAGAACCAAAAGAAGGTACGAAAGCAGTGGCTGAAGCTGAAGAAGAACCTGACACTGAAGAGAAAATCTTACAATTGCAAGAAGAGATTGCTGAGATGGTTGAAAATATTATGGAAGATCCTGAAGAGAATACCAGATACCTTACCCGTCTTGTTAAAATGGTCCAATCTAAAAACCCGAATACTTGTAAATTTTCAATACTTGCGTTGGTTCCTGTATTCAATAGTATTATGCCAGGTTATAGAATCAGACCATTAAGTGATATTGAAAAGAAAGAGAAAGTATCCAAAGAGGTTTCTAGATTAAGACATTTCGAACAAAACCTAGTGGTAAACTACAGGAATTACATTGAACGATTAAATGTTCTGTCTAAAGTTGCCAATAATGCTGATCCAATTAAAGTCTCACTTGGTGTTAACGCCATGCAAGCTGCTAATGGTATAATCTCTAATGCGTCACATTTTAATTTTAGAACTGAAGTTTTCTCAATTTTAATTCGTCGTATTTGTAAACCAAATCTTCGTGTCGATCCTATTGCCCTAACTATTATTAATACCGTTGAATCTCTATTTACTGGTGATGATGAAGGTAGTATATCTGTTGAAATTGTCAGAATTTTTTCTAAGGTTCTTAAGATTAGAAATTACATGATAGATGAATCAACTATGAATATCCTTCTATCGCTTGATATTTTACAAGATTATGACCCAAATACAAGGGATGAAGAAACAGAAATGAAGTTCAGAATGAAAAAGAAGGATAGAGTTCATTTATCCAAAAAAGAGAGAAAAGTAAGAAAGGAAATTAAAGAAATTGATGAAGAAATGCGTAAAGCGGAGCTTGTGGTTTCAGCAGAAGAAAGAGAAAAGAACCAGGCCGAAATATTGAAATTGGTTCTTGCGCTATACTTGAATATTCTAAAAGCTGGTCATACAAATCTTGTTGGTGCCGTTTTGGAAGGTTTATCCAAGTTTGGTAATATGGCTAACTTTGATCTATTAGGTGATTTCTTAGAGGTCATGAAGGAAATAATCCTTGACACAGATCTAACAGAATTAGCTCCTTCTGAAGTACGGAAAGTATTGTTATGCATTGTTAGTTCCTTTTCGTTAGTCTCGAACAATAGGCATATGAAGATTTCAGTGGATCTATCGACTTTTGTGAATGCGTTATATGCTATCCTATTCAATGTTGCATTAGATGCTGATATTGAATTATCTTATAAATCATTGAGATTAGCTGATCCATTAAATATGGAGTTGGTTAAACCTTCCGTCAATGTTTCGACAAAGGCTGAATTACTCTTAAAAGCCCTTAATTATATATTTTTCAGAACCAACTCGGGGACAAGAGAAAGAGCTGCTGCATTCACCAAGAGGTTGTATGTTGCTATTATGCATACACCTGAGAAGACAACTGTTGCTGTTTTGAAATTCATTGATAAATTAATGACAAAATACCCAGATATTGGAGGGTTATATTCTACCGAGGATAGAATAGGTAACGGTTCATACAATGTGAATACCGATATTATATCTAGATGTAATTCTGGAGCTGCTACTCTTTGGGAGAATTCTTTGCTTTCAAAACATTATTGCCCTGCAGTAACAAAAGGGATTAGCTCTTTGGCAAACAAGTCAAAGGAATCAAACAAATAGTCAATATATATAGACTTCATAAAAATAAAGATAAGATAAAATAAGAAATGTAGCATTTGTAAATTTGAATAATAATATTAACAATTTCTAATAGGTATAAAAAGGTGAAATAAATATATGAGGGAGGTACATTATGTACGATACTAGAATATATAATGACTTAAAAGTTCCAGCTCTACTATTATGTTTAAGAAACGATAGCCGCGCCAATACCTAGAGTCGAGAAAATAATACTCACAAATATAGTAATGTAACATGCAATTTTTTCTGTAGGTGAGATTGTGTCTTTACAAATTTTCAGATAGAAAGCACATGGTAAAATAAGACAAATCATAAAACATAAACCTGCACCTAAGAAAGCAATAATTTTATCGAATTGAGGAAATATAATGGCAATAATAACAAATAAGATATTAACAAATAGTGCATTTGTAGACTGAATCGTCTTAGCGATCTTCAGACGATTGCCTTCATATTTCTCTTCAGCATCTCTCACGTTTAATAATGTATCTAAAACGGAAATAATAGGTCTTGCATTTAGAGGTGTCTTAGCAATTGGGATTAAAGTCATTAAACCAGAGATTAAACCATGTAAATAACTAGGAAATTTATCTAATAACAATACATTCTTCGTAATTTCATCCTTTACAGAATCACCAAACATTAAATATCCAACCACTGCAATACCAATATCAGTCACTGCAGTAATTTCATAAGTTGTCTTTAGACAATCTTTAAATTTAGCTGGATGTCTCATATCTGATTTTAAATTCGGGAAGACTGCATGACCACCCCAAGATGCACTCAATAAACCTATTGATAAACAAAAGCTCTTGATATCTTTTGGCCATAATTGTGTTTCCATGGGATGGAATAAAGATCCAGGCGCAGTATTATTAAACAAACCACATGCAGTGATAACAGCTACTGTACCAATGGTTGATAGAATACCTAATAATGATATATTCGATAAAATGCTTAATGGTAAGAAAACTGGTGGTGTAATGACAAAGAATGCTAATATTTTAAATGATGTAACAGAAACATTTGGAAATAATGCATTTAAAGAATCTGCAAATAAAATAACTAAAGACACACCACAGCCAAGCAAATCCAATGTAAACAATGCAGATATTAAAGCACGACCTTTAGTACCGAAGGCTGCATAACCTAAATCGGCATACGACATTAAAGTTAAATCGGTATCTAAACATCTAGAAAGAAGTTCTGCAGTACAAAAAGTGGCACTAGCAAAGAGTGACAACAGAGATAACCCAATGACCCAACCAGCATGTTTCAAACCTAGTGGTAATGCTAATAATCCGATACCTATTAAAACGTTAATTGAATTGAAAATAGTTTGAGGTGCAGTTGATTGACCTGCTAAAACAGTGACCACTTTTCCATCTTTATCTTCAACTTGTTTCAGTACAAATGAATCCACATCACCTGCAATAACACCTTTATAACCATCTCTACTTAAATTATCAGCTAGTTCAGCCATAGATATGGAACCCCTCAAAAGAGAACTTTGTTCACCAGCACCAATACCAGTATGTCCTGAATAAGTAGATCCATAATCTATTGAACTATCATCAAAGAAGGGATTATCTCCGGTACCCCTACTGGCATCTAAGTTAGTAATGGATGGTCTCATTGAAATGTTTTGTGATGGATGTAATACAGTTGATAATCTTCTACCATTCACAGCAGGTGCCAATGTATCAGGATCAAATATTTCATCATGATTATCTTTAAAGAAAGAACGTTCTACACTTGAGTTTACATCGATGTGTCTAAACGAATTAGCTCTTCTTAAAGATGTAGCAAATCTTCCTAGAGAATTAACACCTCTAAATGAACCAATTGGTTGGTTTAGAATAGATTGTCTTCTAGTATTGAATGATGCTTCAACAGGCGTACCATCATTTTGTGTATCTGTTGGGAAATCTGCATTTCTATCTATTGGAATGGAAATATAATGAACCTGAGATCTAGGATTACCATTTCTAGCATTTTGTAATGGTTGTTGCTCTGGATCACTATTCATCTTTGTTTTTTTTATGGATTTTATATTTAATCAAAATAGATCAACAAATATCGATTGGTTTAGTTCTCTAATCGTTTAAAATTTTATAGAACACAGCTCTTTTATACTCGAAGCCTATCAGTCTTGATTCTAAAATAATATTAAATATAGGTGCAAATTTTTATAATGTAAACATGCAATTTTCTCCCCTTATTTTATCTCGAGAACAACAATAGGGAACTATCAGAAAAACCTTAGCAATACAGATTCGAATCAAAATTGTCAAGAGAAAAACAGAAGGTAAAATATACAATAATTATAAATATGTTAACCAAGAATTCCAAATGTCAAAACACACAAGATAAAGAGAATACATGCTCTTATTGTTAATGCTACTATCTTGAAAGTGGCCCCCCTCTCCAAGGGCTTCCCTCTAAAATCAATAAATAAAGAAAATCACAAATTTCGCGCCATTTTTGATCGTTTTTTGTTTTTGTTTTGATTACCAAAAGAGAAAGAAGATAGCAATAGATCAGTGAAATTAACTTGATACATTTGGATTTATATTTAGTTTCAACTTAGTTGTCCTGCCATTACTTTACCCATTCATATCAATGAAGAATATGAAACTACACAGCAATATATAAATAATTGCCATTTGTAATGCTGTTTCGATATATATCACAACCCTTCTTGAGATACTATGATGTCATTTTGATAAGAATTTTGGTTCTTCGGGTTTTTTTCAGGATTTCAAAAATTTTCAACTTGAAATTTTTCATCTCTAAAACTATTTTATTGCAACAACCCACTAGATGATGAGACAAGTAGTGAAGATGGATAAAAGTGGATATAGGAACATTCTATTTAACCACTATCAATAAATAGTCAGTCTAGTTAAAGTTATATTACTTGTCTTCCAGTAACTCAGAAGGTCTCTTTATAACTAAGCAGTAGGATAAATATGCCAATTCAACAACCATCGGGTCAAATAAAGCTGACAAATGTCTCATTAGTGAGATTACGTAAAGAACGTAAGAGATTCGAAGTAGCATGCTATCAGAACAAAGTTCAAGATTACAGAAAGGGGATCGAGAAAGATATGGATGAAGTCTTACAGATTCATCAAGTGTTTATGAATGTATCCAAGGGTTTAGTGGCCTCCAAAGAAGATTTACAAAAATGCTTTGGAACAACTAACGTGGACGATATCATTCAATTAATTCTCCAAAAGGGTGAGATTCAATTAAGTGAGAAAGAAAGACAAATTATGTTAAATAAGATCAATAATGAAATGCTAACCATCATTAGTGCCAAGTGTATTAACCCTAAGTCTAAGAAAAGATATCCTCCAACAATGATACATAAAGCCTTAATTGAATTGAAATTCAGTCCTGTAGTTGGAAAACCAGCAAAATTACAAGCACTTGAAGCTATTAAACTATTAATAACGAAACAGCTTATTCCAATCGTGAGGGCTAAAATGAAGGTTAAAGTTAATATTAAAATATCTACCGAAAATCAAGAACCTTTAGAAAAGATTAAGAAATTTATCGTTACAAAGGAAAATGAATCCAGTACAGCAGAAGCTTACGAATGTACAGGTTTAATTGATCCAGTAGCATACAGAGATTTGGTCACATTGTGTAGTCAAATCGGTACACTTCAAGTATTGGATATGGCTGTGATCGACAATGGCAATTAATCAATTGACCATCAAAAAATCAAAATATTATCATTATATAATCATAACTTCCAGCTTTTGCTCATTTTTTTGCATTAACACATATATATATATATATAAAAATATACACATTGTCTCGTGATTACATATGCATTCATTTCATTTAAGAAATATACATTTCTTTAATCGTTTTAAGAATGAACACTAACTTCGCAAAGTCAAGATCATTACCAGAATCTTGATCCAGTTTTATTGTTTGACGAAAGATTTTAGTACTCATTGTAATAAGTAAACTAGATCCGTCACATGCTAATTCATTATTTTTACCGTTCTTTCTTAACATTGGCATTATAACAGATTGATATAATTCGCCAATTTGTGTACATATCACAGGCATTTTATGATCTGTGGAATCTCCAAGTTTTGTAAGGACTTGAAAATCTGCCAAATTATCTCTCATTACGTCTGCATTATAAGAATAGTCATCATCATCATCATCTTGTTCCTCCGGTAGTAAGGTAGCAAACCCGGCAATTGGTCGGCTTACTCCCTGATCTAAAGTATTCAATCCCCTTCTCGTAACCTCGTAGGTAGAATCCATTTCTCCATTTAATCTGATTTGTAATAATATTTGATTTGAAAAATGGATGCTACTAATATCCAATGGTAACCCACTCAAAGAACCATGATCATTATCAAATATTGCACTCACTGTATAATCTGACATACCATTAAATAACTTCAAATACTCTTGACCATATCTAAAACGATTGTATAAAAGATTAAGTGGTATCTGTTGTTGTGAAATGTTTCATTATGTAGTTTGTCGACTCAGTAACTTCATCTATAATTTTTTAACGGCACAAAGGAAATAAAATATTTCAACGCGTTAAAGTTCAAGAAGATTTCATAATAACAAACATTTGTTTTGTTTGGGTCTCGTTTTTTAATCGAATATGTTGAACTATACAAGCTTACATATTTTTGAATAATATTAACCATCATACCATCCTAATATTTCCATTATTAATAATTTATCAAGTATTTATTGCGAGATTAACTCCAATACATTTACTATTTATCTTTCCATTATACCATAATTTTAATTAGCATTCACTCGTGGTTTCTTGCTAAATACCAAGTCAACTTTTTATAGTCCTCGCAATACTCCACACGTTAAGTCGGGGATAATGCTGAACATCTTATACCAGTTTGTATCCTCAATAATTTTGACATGTTTCCTGTCTGTGCTATTTTTCCTATCGTTATGGCATAATTTTGTTACAGTACATTTTCAAAGTAAGCCAGATCCAAGAGATATTAGAAGCTCACGAACAAATATTAATCCACATAAGAAACCCAGCCCGAATAAAATTAGGCGATATTCTAGAGCATCTACTTCTTCTACTTCACCATTAGATTTAGAGAATGATGATGAAAATAACATCGAATACGATCATACAATAACTAGCCTCAGAGCAAATTTACCGATGGAGTATTTTAAATCAACTAATAAGACTCAAAATAATCCAGTTAATGTACAAGAGGAAAACGAACAGTCACATATATATGATAATCCTTTTAAGACTGATACATTATCACTGGAAGATCATAAGTTGGTACCTGATTTGAAATATTACTACCATCAATATAATATAGAAATCGAAGAATTTCGGGTCACTACAGATGATGGGTTTGTATTAGATTTATGGCATCTTGTTCCTTTAGGTGGATCCGCGAAGGACCAACTGGGTAAATACCCTCTATTACTATTGCATGGCTTATTACAAAGTGCTGGTGCATTTGCATCTAGTGGCAAAAGTTCTTTGGCTTACTATTTATATGAACAGGGTTTCGATATTTGGTTAGGTAATAACAGATGTGGTTTTAATCCAGATTGGGATATGCAAAAATTGAATAATGATAAAAAGAAAAAATGGGATTGGGATATTCATGAAATGTGTCAATATGACTTAAAATGCCTAATAGAGTTCGTTTTAGAGAAGACTATTCATTTCGAGAAATTAACCTTAGTCGCTCATTCTCAAGGCACAACACAAAGCTTATTAGGCTTAGTCAATGGAGAAAAACTTTACAGCTCAAACTTTAAATTGATTGATAAGGTAGATAATTTTGTGGCTTTGGCTCCGGCAATTTATCCAGGTCCATTATTAAATGAAAAAGTATTCGTCAGATTTATGGGTATGGGCATTGATTCACCGTGGGTCTTTGGAACTAAATCCTTTATTCCTTTAATGATGTTCATGAGAAACATCGGTGCTGGAACTAAACTTTTTTCATTCTTTTCATATATTATGTTTAACTATATGTTTGACTGGAACGATGTTTTATGGGATAAACGATTAAGAGATCGTAATTTTTTATTCTCTCCGGTAAATATATCAGTCAAATTAATGCAATGGTGGCTAAGTTCAGATGTTAACAAGACTAGTTTCAAATATGGTTCAAACAAAATGTTTCCACATGATAAGACATGGTTTCCATTAAGACATGAGATGAATGAGACTAGACAAGCACAACACAATATTCATTTAAATCCACCTCGTGATACCGCAAAAGATTTTCCACAAATCATGTTATTCATTCCAAAACAAGATAGACTTGTAGATGGTGAACGTCTAATCAATCATTTTGTTAATTATGAAGATAATTCTGTCTATAAGATCTGGTACATTGACGAATATTCCCATCTCGATGTATTATGGGCTTACGATGTTATCGAAAGAATTGGTAAACCAATTATCAATAATATAAGGTATCCAAATAATCCCTTGGATGATACTAACACTATAATAACAGCTGCAACATAATATATTTTGATAGACATGATACAAATAGTAATTTGTATGCTTTTTACATATATGACCATATATAGATAGATAGACAAAAGACGTATAATAAATACAAAAATTATAGATTATCCGGCATATGATGATGGTCGTTCAATATGATCTCGGGCTAAAAAAAATTTGTGAAAATTATTGTAACTTATTGAATGGGCATCTCATCGAATGGGCATCTCATCGATTTTAGTAACAATAAGAAGTAGGAAAAGTTACAGGAACTACTAAAGATACATAAAATATCATAATATCGAAGATTTCTCTATTTGTACTTAGTAAGACGTTATATACAAATAACCAAGGTATTCCATATCATAAAACAGTATGAAAATCAAAACCATCAAAAGAAGCTCGGACGATTATGTCCCAGTGAAGAGTACCCAGGAATCGCAACTTCCAAGAAATTTAAACCCTGAATTACATCCTTTTGAAAGAGCTCGTGAGTACACCAAGGCACTAAATGCTACTAAGTTGGAAAGAATGTTTGCACAGCCTTTTGTCGGCCAATTCGGTCATGGTCATAGAGATGGTGTGTACATGATTGCAAAGAACTACAACAACCTGAACAAACTGGCAACTGCATCTGGTGATGGTATTGTTAAATACTGGAATATGTCTACTCGTCAAGAATATGTTTCTTTCAAAGCACATTATGGTTTAGTCACAGGGCTTTGTGTTACACCAGAAACATTGGGAAAAAATAAAAATGAAAATTTTATGTTGTCCTGTGGTGATGATAAAACAATAAAATTATGGTCTGTGAACAACGACGATTTTTCGAATGTTAAATCAGATGATGAGATAAATACACATGGTCTTATTAAGACCTTTGATGGTGAGCATGCGTTCCAAGGTTTGGATCATCATAGATCAAAACCAACTTTTGTCACTGGTGGTGCACAGATTCAACTATGGACTTCAGAAAGAACCAAGCCATTATCTAATTTATCCTGGGGTGCTGATAATGTTACTACTGTCAAATTCAACCAAAATGAAACGGATATCCTTGCTAGTACAGGTAGTGATAATTCCATAGTATTGTACGATTTGAGAACAAATTCTCCTACTCAAAAGATTGTTCAAAAGATGAGAACAAATGCTATCTGTTGGAATCCAATGGAAGCCTTTAATTTTGTTGTAGCTAACGAAGATCATAACGCTTACTACTATGATATGAGAAATATGTCTAGTGCGCTAAATGTCTTCAAAGATCATGTTGCTGCTGTGATGGACGTTGATTTTTCACCAACAGGTGACGAAATTGTGACTGGTTCCTACGATAAGACTATCAGAATATATAAGACAAATCAAGGTCATTCTAGGGAAATATACCATACAAAGAGAATGCAACATGTTTTCCAAGTCAAATATTCTATGGATTCTAAATATATAATGAGTGGGTCTGATGATGGTAATGTGAGGATGTGGAGAAGTAAAGCATGGGAAAGATCTAATGTTAAATCTACCAGAGAGAGAAATAAATTAGAATACGACGAGAAATTGAAGGAAAGATTTAGACATATGCCCGAAATCAGAAGAATCAGTAAACATAGACATGTTCCAATTGTTATTAAGAAAGCACAAGAGATTAAGAACATTGAATTGAGCTCTATTAGGAGAAGAGAAATGAACGAGAGACGTACAGTCAAGGATAAACCATTTGTTGCACAAAGAAAACAACAGATTGTTGGTACTGTATTTAAATATGACGAAAAGAAACGTCGTGAACAACATGATAATGAAGATGATCAAGATAGTAACTGAAAAAAAAATTATTTGTATATTAGAATATTTCCTCGACCTTTTGAAGAATGGCATAAATAACCTATAAGTCTTGCATACACATATAAAATTAGATTATATAAACTTTTATTGATATAAAATATAATTCGTTTTTATTCTTTTCACTTAAATAGAAAAGAACGAGAAATAATAATAATATTAGTATGCTTACACTTTGATTATGAAATGCTTATAAGAAAATATTTCGACTTCAAAGCAATATGTTGTGTATATTATTATTTTATATTTTATCATAGTGTAATAAATGTTTCACTTTTATATATATATATATGTTTACGTGAGGTTGTGAATGTCCATTGATATGGATGAATGTACGTTCTTAATTACCCTTCCAAGTATGAGAAAGGCAAAGAGAACATAATATTATGTATTAGATAGTTAAACTTTCGTTCGTGAATGAAGAAATTATATTGAAATAATACCAATACCTGTAATAATATTATACGGGAAAATTGTATCTTCAGAATATGATAATTATAAGTAACAAGTTTCATAGAATATGTGTATAAAATGCATTAAAATAAATGTCACAATACGTTATCAGTATAATAATTGAGGGTGACAATATGGGAGTTTTCGTATTGTTAACTACTAAATCCATAAGAAAAATTTAGTATATTTGGTCCACTGTTTTTTTTCCTAGGAAAATGAAACAAATAATGATATAGTATAATATGATGCTAATAAGTAAAATGTCTTAATAGGTATAGTAAATGCATATTTGTTTTTGAATCAGTCGTTACTTTTTGTTCTTTTTTTTCGATTTTTTTTTGTATTTACATTTTCCGAAATAAATGATAATAGAATTGTCATTAGTAAGGTCATATTGAAACATCCAAAACTTTCCCTACATCTAAAACATTTCTCTTGGATAAATCTTCCAATAATGGTATAATATCCAATAATTCGTTATCATGAGTATCAGAAAACCACGAAGAAATTGGAATTGCATGTTGAGGATGGAAAATATATGATGCAGGAGAGTTATCAAGTATGATAATATCTGAAAGAGGTCTACCAATCTGAGATAAATTCTTAATATAATTTCCTTCGTAATTGTAACAAGCCTCTCTAAAGAGTCTATGATGAATAGCTTTATTAATATCCAATTTATCTAATAAAGGATCACCATATCTGGAAACACTCGCTGTAAATACTACAACTTCGTATAATTCGCCAACTCTTTTTAAAAATTCGTCAACACCTGGTCTTTTTATAACGTAAACGTTATGTATTTGATCATCAATATCCACAGGTAAAACAAAATCTGCTGAACGTAAATATTTAAATGATGAATGAACTAATGTTTCATCCAAATCTAATACTAAGCATTTCTTATGTTTAAAAGATTTCGTTATAGGTGGTAAAAGAGTATTAAACCCAGCAGCATGATATTGATCTGGTTGTAATTCAGTCAAATCAACATACTCTTCAGAATCTTCATAATTTGACACCATATTATAGTCCATATCATTTTGTACATCATTAGCATTAGAATATAGTTGTTGTTCAGTTTCTTTATCTGACGGACTAATATTAGTATTATTAGAATATTCTGTTGGTTGTTCATATAATTGTTCATTCGAAGGTTGTAAAGGTACACCTGGTTCTTCTTGAGTTAATGGTATGGAATTATCTTTATCTAATGATTGTTCATTTACAATAGGGGTAGAAGCATTTGTTATATCATGATTTTTGTCGATCATATCATAATCATCTTCATTGTTACTATTAACTATACTACTATCATTTTGGTTATTAACATTCGTTATCACATTAGAATTTCCATCTATTTTCATCGAATTAGCATCATCAAATGTATCTGCATAAGAAGAATGTTCATTACCTTGAGAAGATTCGGAATTATAATAAGCTGTCATTTTTGTACTTGTCTTTTCCTTTTCAGTACTATCTTCTTCGTCTTCGTCAGCTTCTATATCGTCAGAATTCCTTTCAATAATATCTTTTTCCTTTTCTGAAGATTCAGTGAATTTACTTGTTGATGTTCTTATACTACCTATACTACTATTATTTTGATCTTCAATAGACTGTTTTGAATCTATTGGAATAGTTGTGCTGTTAGTATTTGATATATTAGAAGTACCCCTTTTATTTTTTAATTGTTTCGCGCTTCCTGTAATTATCGAATTATTTGTTGTAGTAGCAGTAGCAACAATTGCGGTATTATTATTATTATTATTATTATTATTATTATTAATATTTGTTGTTGTTGTAGTTGTTATTATTAAATTTGAATTGGTAGTATTAGAACTCTTAGATTTAGTTATATTATTATTATTATTATTGTTATTATTCTTTGTAGTAGTATGACCAATCTTATTATTAGTAGTAGTATTACCAATATTTCTTTTCCTATTTGTATTATATCTTTGTGATTGATTAGTTATATTTCGATCTTCTAAATTGTTTTCTTCTGCGCAACATAAAGATGATATTAATCCCATTTGATTAAGAACCTATAGAAAGGGTGGATATATTAACACAAACAAAATAAATAAAAAGAATAAAAGTAATTCAATGGAATATATTTTAAAATAGAAAGCTTCTTAAATTTCAAAAATAAGAAAACAGTCAAACTAAACGCCTCTATCTTTTAATAAAATTAAAATTAAAAAATAAAGAATTTTTATTGAAGGGGTGAAAATAAACTATTCCTGTTCTCTTTGTAAAAAAAAAATTACGAATTTGATCAAAATTCACGAGGAGTTAAAAAATTTATAATAAAATTATAATCAATCAATCAATCAACGGTTTGAGTTTGAGTTTTTATTAATAAACAAATAAAAATATTTAACCGACAGAGAAGAAAGAAAAAAGCGGGAAAAAATTTTGAAAATTTGAAATTTATAAATTCCCTTAATAAATAATGAAAAGGGGGAAATTAAAAGCGAATTCTTATAAGAAACTAACAAAATGGAAGTTAATAGCGACTTCTATTAATTTTCTTTTTCTTAATATGGATGAGATGATATGATATCTATCACAAATAACAAAATAAAATGAGATGAGATGACTTTACTTTTGTATATTCTAGAGAGACTTCAAAATGGTGTATATGTGATGACTTCTCGATTAAATAATGTTTAATAGAATGAAAGGATATCAAAAATAATTGTGATTTTAATAATGTAAACTCCCTTTTAGTAAATTATGATGATATGTATAAGTGATTGTATTCTAGTCAAAAACAAAAAACAAAACGCAAAAAAGGGGAAATGCAGGATGAGATTAAATAACCTCTTTGATATGTTCGAATGAATAGATATATATGAACAGATCCTGATAGTGATGATCGTTTATTCACTCTTCCTATATCTTCTTTTTTTTATATTATAATGATTTATTCAATTTATTGTTAATGTTTTCTTCACAGAGAAAAAGAACAAAAAAATGGATAATATGTATCTTTTCACGTTAGTGTTTTTAAACAAAAAAAGAAAATTTGAATTTATTTTTTTATAGATAATTTTATTGTTTAATATTTTTTATATATTACTCTATTCAGATCTTAAATGTTCTTTATTGATCAATCACCCTACCCTATCTTTCTTATAATCTTTAATTCGATTTTTTGATTCGTATTTTCTTTTTTTCCTTAAGAGAAAAAAACAAATTTTTAAGAGATTAATTTTCTCTTTTCTTTTCTTTTCTTTTTCTTTTTCTTTTTCTTTCTCACAAAACCACCGGAGAGAATGTAATGATTAAATTAAATTAAGAGGTGATTCTAATGATGATGATGATGACGACGACGACCAAATAAATCAAAATAATCTATAAATCACGATAATACCTATTTTAAAATAAAAATAAAATAGTATACTAATCGAAATGAATTAATATAGAATTTTAATTCATTGTTGTCGTTTTTTGTGATACTACTAAATCATATTGAGGAATTTATTAATATATGAAAAAAGAAAACGCATGATTTTTAGTAACGTTATGAATGCATATATAGTTTGTATTTGTTTGTCCCGCATTGAGAAGAATTCGACTATCTCATCTCATATATATATGAATAATATACTAGGGCAGAAAATGAAAACAATTTTCTTGAAAAAAAAAATAAAAGAAGAGGATTCTAACACTTTTGTTTATTTAATATTTTCCTATTGCTGGCCCTCAAGATGTTCTTAAGTATATAAAATATTCTATGATTATCATTAACTATTATTTTGCACCTAATTAAGGAGTCACATGGCCTTATTTCATCTTCATAATTTTTTACATAATTAATTGTTCTTTGTTTAAACAAATGGAAGCAAGACACGAACAGAAAAAGAGTATCAATAACTACATATACATTGTTATTGTAATATTATTCTATTATACACCCTATCTGACTCAATTTTAACTTTCTTAACTATCAAAAAAAAATGGGAAAACTTAAATAAATTTCATTTAACTTGTTCTATTTTGTTTCTGAAGTATATTAATTTCTATTTCAACTGATGCCGTACTAAATCTTTTTTCGGTGTACCAAAAGAGCAAAAAGCTCTGACTGAGGCCGAAATGTGGCCACCCACTCACGCTCGCTTCCAAAAAAAACTTTTTTTCGCACTTTGAATTCCCATTTTAGTCACCGGCTAGAAGATAGAAGCTAACCGGGTTGGCATAGAACTAAACTCAGGGTTAGGGTTGATTAATTATCTGTGTGAGTTCAAATTATGCAGGGTAGAATGTCAAAATAAGTTCGGTTGAGGGGAAAAGGACTCAGACCGTTGACAAAGTCAATTCCCATAGTGATAGATAATGGTTTAGCTTGAAGAAATATATATCTATCTATTGTAGAAATTAAACAAGCGTTTATAAATATATATATGTATGTCTATAGAAACAATTGCACTAAGATATCTAGATGTTCTTCCTCTACTTATTAATTTAATTATTGTTTAAGATAATTATATATGAATATACTAAATAATGGTAATAATTACAACGAACATGAAAAATAATATAACACTCATATATATTTCATTTACCCTTAAGTTATGTTGACGATATCTCTTTATTTAATACTGTAATCTACTTTCTGTAGCAAACAGAGATTAGAACTCTGTTTTCTCTATTTTTTGTTTGTCTATTATTAGGAAAGGAACTTTGTGTATTCGAACCAATGAGAATGAATGATGGATATCGAAGTCGTAGCACTCACCGTCATTTGTTTGTTATCAATAACGAAACTTCCCCAACTTTGAACCAATAAGATTGATTCTTCCTTATCGAAGTATCAGAGCTCACCCTCATTTATTCGTTTGTTATTGTTGTTATTACCAGTAACAATAAATGAATTGTGCAGAAAATAATATTTGGAAAAAATAAATTGTGGAGGTCTTTGTGGTCTAACTCCGTGTAACGCTGTACAACGCCGTGCAACGCCGTGTATACGACAAAGAAAGAAAAGACTTTCCCATTTAACCGCCGAGCGACACAGGGAGAGGGCGATTTAAAGGAACTTTGTGTTTTAAAGAGAAAAAAAAAAGGTATAAAAGGGTACTAAAATCGTTGTCAATTTTAAATAATTTTCCTTTCGTTCTTATTACTTCTTAAAGTTTTATTCGAAGTTTGTTTTGAGTTGCTATGTTTTTATAAATAAATCAAGATTGATATTATATAAATACACTAACATATTATTAATCTTTTTCAAAAACAAAAGTTAAAATGCAAAATACTACAACTACTCAAGGTCTACCAGTTAGCACTATTTGCCATAATTTGTTTGAAATCTGTACATTTAAATCAGTTTCCAAATTCCCTGTTGCTACTCCATTCAAGGCATTTAATATTGTCGGGGAACAGTTATGTCAGTTAAATCCACCAAACTGGACGACAGGCTTCAAATATATTTTAGAGGATTATAATGGTCCACTTGTTATCTTTGTTAAAGATCAAAAACATGAAGATTATGGTAAAGCCTTAAACACTCACTCCAGATGGTGCCAAACTACGACTAATAATATACTATTTAGGAGAGTATCTTTGACATGGTATGATGAATATACTATCAAGGAAGGTCTATCCGAACAAAAAGGCATTAACTGCTTCATAGAAGGTAATTTGTTTTGTGTTTTGGGAGATTTTCCTGATATACAGATTAATTTGGTAGAACTATTTGGTAACACATTAGTTCAAGTCCATGAAAATAAAAATCTAGTGATGATAGGTATATTTTATTTTTTAATGCAAAAGATAGGTAATCACATTCAGCTGCTAAAAAATGATCTTTTAAAAAAAGAGAAAAAAAATCAAAATGTCGCTTATATTTTTAGCTCAAAGATGAATTCATACCTCAGAAAGAGGTGTGATAATCTAACTGAGTTATCAAAAATGATATTCCAAGGGAAAGAATTTTTGACCCTAATCGAAGACCATCTAGAAAACTTAGAAGTTGACAAGAATTCAACATTCATGGCTCCGATTAGCAAAGATGTGAGATCGAACTTTGATCAAAAAATAAGAGAGTGTTCGTTAACATTATTGTGTCTCGAAAACAATCTCGCTGAAGCACATGAAAAGCTTCACAAATGTTTGAAGATAATTCCCTACGCTGTGGGCTGCCTACTTGCAACAATGTGCATATCTAAAGTGGTGGAAATGATAGTACACAAAGTAGCTGGAAAAACAGAACACAGTTTTGAAGGACTTACAATCGCATTCATAAGCGAGGTTATCGTGTGCCTATTGTATGTGATTATTTATTTTTGGTACAACGGCGTTCGTCTAAGGTTAGGGATAACATTTCCTAGTTGCAAATTAGATATGTCCAAATTTCGGGTCGCACCCAAACAAGAAGATATTTCGGATGGCCCCTCTGTTCCTTGAAAATGTTCGTTGTTTTTAGGATGTGCTGCTATCATTTTCCAGGTCAGTTTAGTTTAATTTAGGTAGATCGATTATATATATCTCGTCATACAGCTTTTATATCAGTAAAGAAACATAATCCTCTTCAATATAGTATTAACTATCATCTTAATGAATTGACTTGCTATGTATATGTATATATGTATATATACATATACATCGTATAACACTACGATCTAGTGCCAATCCCACATAACTCCAAAGTCACTTATATATGTGATTACTCCTCTTTGGCCTCCCTCAGCTCCTTGGCACGAGTTGAACATTCGCATTCGTTATACCTTTGCGTATAGCGCGGTGGTTCTGACGATGCATTATAAGTATAACAACTCACATAATGATTACTTTTCCTAGGGTTATGAAGGCGATCATTGTAATCGTATGCTTCTGCACAGGCCCAAGACCATTCCTGTTCTGGTGGATTCTGAGGAAATAACTCGATAAGCTCTACATTAGAACGGCATCGGCAATCTGACACCATATATCGGTTTCTTCTGTACAAATATTCATTTCTTCGGTGGACATATTCTTCTTCTGTCACGTCTATCCCGGGTAAACGTTGTCGGTGTAGGACTTGGCCACCAACTATGTTGAATGCAAGAGGTCTCTGGATGGCGCTAAGAAAGGATGAGGGGTCATAAAACCGTGGATCCTTCTTAGCTAGTAGCAGACTAGTAATGTTTGCATAAATGTTTTTTATATTTTTCTGAGAACAATTGACAAATAGCATTGG